AGATTTCGGCTAAATTATTCTTGGCAGGACAAAACTTTTGTGAGGCACCTCCGTAGTAGTTTTCTGTTTCCTTGACAAATTCCCGAGTCGGCCTGGCCGTTTCTCGGTAAGCTGTACTACCCCTATTCTCCGGGCACTCGCCACGATGATTGCTTTTGCGACCATAGATCGAGGCCATTATCATCAATTGGTTTTTCTTTGTCTCGCAATTGTACAGACCAGTTCTTATCGATTGAATCTAGACGCCCTAAAGCAAACTCTTTTTGTTTCAGCGAGATGCCTTATCCATGAGGCTCAGTTCGGCTCTATGCCGGCATCATCCCAGCTGATCATGTCTCAGCCTCGAGATCCGAAGGCTGACATATTCATGCATTTCACCCCGCAGCAATTAAATATTGTACAAAGTGGGCTCCGGTCAGCCTCAATAAATCAGCACTTCACTGAGCTGCTCCCCCATAACCATTTCTACCAACTAATCTAGCTGCAGTCAATTTAATACCACTTAATATGCCCTTTACTTACTGTAATACCAGTGGCTCTTGTAGTCCAACCTCGTCACAGTCGAACCTCAGCTTTGAATCCGACCGATCGTCTACCTCTTTTTCGGAGACACGGCCACCTACGTTGTCAACACCATCGCTCGATTTTTCGCCACTGCAACCCGAATTGACGACATTACGCTCTGATTTCCTGACAGCACCGTCCGAGCGGCCAGGCCTGAAGCCCAGTCTCAAGTCCTCCGAATATATCCGACCGGTCACTGACCGGAAACCGCCACCAGCTGTTAGATTCGCCGAGCCAGATCCAACGCTCAAATCCAACACCAAGTCGAAGGAAAAGCGGAGGAGTGATAAACCATCGGAGTCTTTGTCCGGCAAATCACAGGGTTCTAGCAAACCACCAAGTTTCAACAAAACAAAAAGTTCCAAAGCAACGACTCAATACCACAATGGCGTGCCTTTTGCGAGTCCGACTGCGAGGTTGTCGAAACAAATCAACAGCTCTCAATCGAATTCGGCACCTGCACCACCAGATTTCAGCCGCCCAAACTCCCTTCCAGCTTCCCATACCATTTCGATTCAAGCCATGAAGAAACGAATCAGCTCCAGGTCACTTGCACAGGCAGAAACTCCGGAACTTGATCCAAGATGGGCAGGAATTCCTCTGCCAGCGCATTTCACACCACCAACCCTAGGGCCAAAGTCTCGCGTAACATCTTACCAGTCGATAACGTCGACCGCTTCGGGTCTTTCCACTCAATCCGCGCCAGCCACTCTCGAGAAACCACCACCGCTTAATGTTCCTTCTGGTCAATATAACCCCCTAGAGCATTACATACCCTGTATGTATCCTTCATGCAAGGTGCACTATACACCCGCCCATCTAGGTCCTTCTTTCTACCTCCCCAGCGGCCCATACTCCATATCACATCTGCATGCCCATTGCCCCCGGCACGCCGTACGAGAGCTCAAAGAAGCCAACGCAACCCTCAAGCGCGCCTATGAGGTACTACGCCAAAACGCCGGCCGTAAGACGCTCGGCACCGTAGCCGCCGAATTCGAACAGCTGAAAGACGAATTCCGCAATGACCGCCGCATCCGCAACGCCAAGGTCATCCGCATGCAGAAACGGCGGGTACTTGGCGTCCCATCGAGTTCTTCTCCTTCTCCCACGGGCGAAGGTGACAGCAACGAGAAGAAAAACGACCAGTCTTCTTCTTCTTCTTCTTCTTCTTCTTCTTCTTCTTCTTCTTCTTCTTCTTCCCGCTCGAAAAAGGAAGTTTGGGATTGGCGCTACACCCAACGCCCCTGCATCAGCGCAACCTGCAAGGAGCACTACACGCCGTATTCCAATCACCTGTACACCTTTTACCGCACGCCGCAGCCCGGAACCTCGTTCTTCCCCATGCAGACGTTCTGTCCCAAGTGTGCGAAGCAAGAGATGGATGATTTTGCGCTGGACGTCAAGCAGAAGCACGGCAGTAGGTGTGGATGGGATCGAAGTGAGTGGCTCGAGTGGCTGAGCAGCAGAGTCCAGGAGAGGGAAATGGAGCAGGACTACTGGGTGAGAGCTCAGGAGAAAGTGGTCAGGAAAAAGGGACCCGCGAGGTGGGTGCGCGGACTCGAAGATGATGTTCGGGTTGAGATGGAGAGGCAGGAGCTGGTCAAGTTTGAGAGGACTATGCAGAAGAGTGTGTTGAAGAGGTTTGTGGCGAGTATGGTTGTTTGATCTCTCCCTCCTTCCACTCAACCTTTTTTCTCGATTTCTTCGTTTCTTGTGGGGAGTTTTTTTTTGTTTTGCGCACGAATATCCAAGTCGTCTTTGTTTTTTCTCTCTTTCACGAGCACATATACGCCCCTTTCATTTGTAGTACTTGGGGGTTCACTGTTTCCTTTCAATGTGCTGTAGCAGCAGCTGTAGCATTTACCTGCATACCTCTTGAGATATACGGGAAACGAGTTTGTATTTTTTTTTCTATCTTTCCAACATATGAAATTGAGTCAACACCCAAGTACACACAGCAACTCCTAGGTTATTCCATAACTTCTGTTTTTCTTCACATTAGATATCCTGATACATAACTGGAATCTGTGGCTTACGTAAAGAATCACATGCAGCATAACTACATGGGGTTGCATATTACCCCCAGCCATTCCATTAAGATACTAAAACACACATGTGAATGATTTGTAGTAGCTGCTTAACGCCCCGGCGTCTAGCCATCTGTATTCATGACGCTCGTTTTGTAACAAGGCACGTCGCGACGGCCAACTAACCTGCATTGACGTGAGAAATCTTTTTCTTGGTTATACAAAGGTGGCGTTTGTCAGGAATCATGCCTCATGGCTTATTTTGAACAGTTGAAACTGTGGCTTGGATGTGATGCGACCTTTGTTGTACGTGGAGAAACATGACAATAAGGATAACTGAGGGGGGAGAATCCCTGGCTTGGTAAGCTGATGTTGGACTGGAGGTAGAGACGGGGCTGCTGCTTTTCGTTGTATCCGTGTCTTGGTGCATTACTACAGCTGAGGAGGGCATTGCTACTTGCTAGATTCTCATATAGACAAGCGAAGCGTTCAGTTTGGATAAAGAGGTTGGCATATTCTGTAGCTTTTTTTTTGTAAAACCGATTACTACCCCTGCATGATCAATGTGAATGCGGACTTTGCAAATGCGATTACAAGTAATAATACGTATATGCCGCTGAGATGCAACAGACACAGCTTCATGAAAATAGGCAATATAGCTCCAAGCATGACAGCCAAAGAAGAAACACGTATCATTTCGTTAACAAGACTCGCATAATCGCATTCTCTCATAGCAAAAGCGGATCGACATCCCGATAGCTTGTGTGTTGCTGGCCCAGAAATCTCGTAAAAGGGTACTTTGACACTTGTCTGGGCCATTCAACGTGATGCCTTAGCTGGTACGGTACGTTCCAATATATGCCCTCAACCCAGCTCAAAACAGCAGTGGGTGCATTGACGCCTTGGAAGCCTACTCTTTCTAGATAGAGAATCGGTGTGAGGATGGCTTGGATGGCGATGAAGTGGGCGAGGAGTATCTGCGCGACACTGTTGTTAGCGTCGATGAAGGCCTGGAACTGCTCGTGTGTCCACCGTGAGGGAATGTTGTATAGTGTAACAAAAGTGGTGTATGCCTCGATCGGCCTCTTGTATGCGTGCTCTACGATGCGAACAAGGAGCTCCCAATATGTTCTTTCCCACTCGGACATGTTGAGAGCTTCGATGGACCCAAGGGATACGGCGGCTAGGTCAAGATCCTCCTGATTGACACTCTTTAGCGATGAGTTGTCAATACGGTTGCGCATTGTCTGGAGATGGCCGTCTTCGCGGAATGCCTGGACCCTGTCAGAATGAAAGGGTAATTTACCAACGCGAGGTATTACTTACCTGGAAGACTGAGTCATCGACCAACGACATTTCGTCGCCCGCGATCAGATTACATCCGCGTACCATTGTGAGGAACTCGGCCATGCCGTCCTGCAGATGGCTTGATTGGAATGCAAGAGCTAGGGCGGCTGCCATCCTTGCATCTCTTTCGCACTGGGTCTTCGGGGGTGCTGATAGAGCGTCATTGAGCGACTTGACTGCCAGGATGCGATGTTGTATAGCCTGTTCGGCAACACCAGAATTTGTCACGGCATCCAGGTGAGATGCAGATAGTGCCAGAATGGAATGGATGAGGTATTCGTACTGTGAGCATCAGCCTGGAGTTCTATCGTGTTGCTGTCTGAGAGATTTCCCCCTTTCGAAAAGCTGCAAGGACCTACATTGTGTGCAAAGCTGGGAATCACGGTAATCCATACCTTGTCTGCACCTACAGGTAGATGCGGGTATGCAGTGATGAGAAAATGGTGGAACAGACGCATGTCCGCCATGGACTATCACTGTCAGCTCCTGTCGAACTGACTAGACCTCAGATACTCACAAACATGCCTGGCCCCGACCGTAAGTTGCCCATGTCCTGTGGGTTTAGGATTGTTTGCGGTCGCTGCGTGGTCTGGATGATGTTTGCAGGATAATCGCACTGAAGGCCTGCTTTGATGCAATGATTGCACTTGGGATGTTTCTCGTTGCACTTTATACGTCGCCGTTTACAGCTATAGCAGCCACGGCGGGATTTGGTATGTCCCTTCCTGGGGATGGGTTTGCGGGGTAGTGGTGCTGCGCTCTCATTTCGACCATCCGACTGTGCTGGTGACTCGCTTGAAGAACTATCCATCCGACTGCTGTGATCCTGTGGAGACGACATTGGTAGTAATGACAGGAAAAGGATTCAGTGGGCGTGGGCGCGGGTACGCTTCCCATGTGGCTATATAGTCTACCCACGCACGACATGCCATGACCCTGACATGGGATCATAAATTTGGGGGCTTAGACCGGGAGCGCGAAGCGACCCCGCGGGTGTGGAAGGGCCATGTTAATCAGGGGATGCCAGGTGTACGGCTGAACCGCAGCTGACCCACAGCCTTGTACCGTAAAACAAAGGCGTCCGACAAATAGAATTACTATATTGCTTGGTATTGTAGCTTTCAAGACCGCTGAAAGGGTCTAGAAACTGGGAGCTTCAGAAATTGTTGGTTACTAGCCTGTTGACCGGTGGGCAGCCCTACCGTTAAGTGGCTTCGGATGGCTTCGAGGGCTGTGTAATCTCGGAGCGTCATTTGAAGAGAATGTATGGCTTGCGATAGTTTCAGGCGGACTTGACGAAGAGTTATTGGATTCACTGGCTCCCTGGCGACATGCCTCGGCTGACCTCGTTGCGCCGCCATGGAATAACGGTCCATGGCATAACCTGCTGCCTGCCGCTGCTGGACAAACCACTTCTGCATCACGAGATGAAGACAAGCGTTGCCAAGCAGAAGTTCGCCGATAGGTTGATGTGCCATTGGGCCAGTCTGGCCACGCCCACCAGCTATCTTGGACAGCGTGTGAGGATGCCTCTAGCACCGCTCTGAGGCCCCAAGCAGAGGTGGACGTTTCAAAGACGTAATAATAGCCGGAGTTGCACTCGGTCGATGCAAGCGATTTCCAATGTAACGAGAACGGCATGCAGGCGAGGGAGAGCCAAATGGGAGGACATGCAAAGCATCGGCATGGAACCAATGAAAAGCCCTCCAGTGGCCGAGGTTGGTGTTTTTTCGCGTAACCTTGCAGTCCCCGCATGCGAGGTTTACCAGGCACAAGCACAAGTAATGTTGGAGCAGCGGAGGTGGCAAAAGCGATGGCGGGTGGGCTGAATGCAGCGGAGGCCGTGGGTGTGGTATGCCAAGCCGCTAATTCTGTCAGCCAAGTGCGAGTAACCAGCCGTCTGGCCGCGGTGAATGAGCGTGCCCGTCTCTTCTCCAACCACCCACCGTCTCGCACGTGCTCCCGCCTGGTGCTGCTATATTGGTCTGTGACACACGATCGTGTCGTTCCACTCCCCCGGGAAAGAATGCCGGTTCTCGAGGTCACCCAGCTGCGTCTAAAAGGGCTTGCTGCACACGACCCAGCATTGCTCCACAGCCTATCGACCGTCCGGGCTAAACTACACACCAGCTCACGGTTTTACAACTGCATCGACGATCCTAGTTTGGTTTATATTTTAGGCATATGGCCAAGTCTGGACGCTCATGTCGACTTCCTTGCCTCTCCATCCAGGGACGAGATTCTCGGCCCCCAAGAAGACCTGCTGCAGTTTTGTTGGACGGTCCATGTGGAGATGGGTGGCATAGACCTGCTGCCACTGGATGCGCCTATTTTAGCAATCGAGAGAATCCGTGTGTCAGAAGAGTGCACTGGTGCCTTGGACCAGGCCATTCAAAAGCACATACAGGAGCTACGAGGCAGCCATTTGTTTAAAATAGCAACCGGCTGGCGATGCGATGCTGAACCAACGACCCACGAAGTTCTCATCTTTAGTGGGTGCCAAACCGCACAAGCTCATGTCGGCTTTACAGTCAAGAGTCATCATAGCGGACAGTATGAGACGATAGAGATTATGCGTTGTAGAGATTTGGAGCGTATAGGAGACTGAGTTAGGTTCAGGCCATGCCTGTCTCAGCTCTACGTTTCTTCTTCGAATCAACAAACATGTAAGCTGGTAGATGCTAAATACCTATTTAAAGTATATCTAACTTGTATTAGAGCCTCCTCAGCTATGACTACCGGTGAATCGCTACACTGTCTCAGTCACTATGCGCCAATCCAATCGCCAGCTTAATCGCTACACCCGATTTCAATGGCTATCTCGATCGCTAGGCTAATCGCCAGGTTAATACTGTACTCTAACCTAATAGCGGCTTATTCTCTTTACACAGCCTGAGTTGCTTAGAGTTTAGTACCTAAGTAAAGTATTACATCTACTAGGTGCATAGCCTATTAGCGCACGTTCAAGACAGCTTGATACTCTAAAGCACACACATTTCTATGAGATACTACTCATGCATGTATAAAATACTTTACACGCGACACAATTGTGCAGACTTTACGGCTACCCTTTCATATTCCAGGGATACTTTTATCCGTAGAAAAAACTTTGAGCTAACTCCTTACAGCAACGGAAAGTCCCGTAAAATTATAGTCAATGAAGCGGCTTCACAGACTAGTGTTGTTCGGCTGAATGTGGTAGGATGGTACGACGACACAAGAAATTACTCGTCAAGCAAGCAACGCTGGGCATTCGCTCGGCTGCTGGCGGAAGCTCAACACCAAGCGGCCTCATTTCAAGAAAGTCACAGTTGCACTCTGACATATTGTGCACGGTATGGGATAGGGGTTACCCTGGGTTACAAATTGTGTTCCAGTTGCTCGGTAACTCTACCCCGCTATACAAACCACTAGAAAGCAGGACTGGGACGTGATAGTCCCAACCAAAGTGACGTCGCCATGGTGATCCCGCGAGGTGTTTAGTAGATCCGGACATGCTATAAAATCGCCTTTTCTCTAGTCGCCCAACAAGTCTAGATGCGACCCGGACGGCTCAGTTCTGATTGAGGTAAAATACGGCAAATCTTCAACAAGACGTTTTTCACCTTGATATCGAGTGAAAAGAGAGCTTACATGACTGCATAATTAGCTTCCGCCATGCATAGAATCCCCCTTTTCTTGGCTTTGAGTCAACTCGCTACGCTTTCGTCAGCAAGGGTGCACACTCGACAAGCTAAAGACACCAATGTCTTGAAATGGGTCGACCCGTTGATTGGCACTCAAAAAGGAGGCAATGTCTTTGCCGGCGCCACTCTACCATATGGGATGGCCAAAGGTAAGAAATTGCGCATGGCTGTGTTGCTTCCGAGATGCTCATGGTGACACAGCTGTTGCCGACGTCGACGGGGCGAACACGGGAGGCTTCTCTACCGATGGAAGCAATGTCACGGGCTTCTCGGCTCTGCACGACTCTGGCACTGGCGGCAATCCGAGCCTAGGCAATTTTCCCATTTTCCCGCAGCTCTGCTCCGGAGAAGATATCAACACGTGCTACTATGCCATTGATGCGCGCAAAACTGGTTACAAAAATGACTCTGTCAAGGCGCGACCAGGCTACTTTGGAGTGTCACTGGACAATGGCATAGATGCTGATATGGCGGTCTCGGAACGCGCTGCCCTCTTCCGGTTCAACTTCTCACAGCCCTCTACCGGCAATGCAAATGCGGATCCGCTCATTTTGCTCGACCTGACGGATCTTTGGAGGAGTCGCCAGAACGCTTCCATTAGCGTCGAGGCGAATGAAGGTGAATCGGGCGGAAGGATAAAGGGAAACGGCACGTTTCTCCCCAGTTTCGGAGCGGGCACGTACATGGCTTACTTTTGCCTGGACATATCTGGAGGAAGCGTCAAAGATTCTGGTGTCTGGGTGAACGATCGAGCTGGCACAGAACCAAAGCAGCTTTTTGTCACACGCGGCTTCAACAACTTCTACCTGCAAGCCGGCGGCTTTATACGTTTCAAAGGCCCGCTTTCAGGGCCTCTGCTCGCCCGAATGGGACTGAGCTTCATGAGCAGTGAGCAGGCGTGCCAGAATGCCGAGCGCGAGATACCCGGTCCCAACTTTGACTTTGACAAGCTAGTGAGGTCAGCCGAAGATGCATGGCGCGAGAAGCTTGCGCCCATTTCGATAGAAGCGGGAGACGTGGATGACAGCATGCTGGTGAATTTCTGGAGCGCAGCCTACCGGACCATGATATCACCATAGAACTACACGGGCGAGAATCCGCGCTGGACGAGCGCCGAGCCATACTTTGACTCTTTCTACTGCATCTGGGACCTCTGGCGTGTCCAGCTTCCCTTTCTGACGATCCTGGACCCCCAGATGATTTCGGTCTTCGTAAGAAGCCTCCTGGATACGTACAAACACCGGGGGTGGCTCCCAGACTGCATGATGAGCACGTGCAGAGGCTGGACGCAAGGCGGGTCCAACGCCGACAACGTGCTGGTGGATGCCTATGTCAAGAACGTGACTACAGGCATAGACTGGGAGCTAGCCTACGAAGCCATCGTCAACGACGCGGAAAACGAGCCGCTGGAATGGAGCTACCAAGGGCGCGGCGGCCTCACAAGCTGGAAGAAACTACACTATATCCCCGAGCAAGACTTCGACCCCATTGGCTTCGGCACAAACTCACGCAGCATATCGCGGACACTCGAGTACGCCTACAACGACTACAATCTCGCCGTTCTCGCGCGCGGCCTAGGCAAAAGCACAGCCGCCACCAAATATTTTGCGCGATCAACAAACTGGGAAAACCTATTTAAACCAGACCAGACCTCGTTCATCAACGGCTCCGACACGGGCTTTAAGGGCTACTTCCAGCCCAAGTACCTCAACGGCACGTTTGGGTTCCAAGACCCCATTGCGTGCAGTCCGCTGTCGGGATGGTGCTCGCTCACCAGTAATCCGTCGCCGACGTTTGAAAGTAGCATCTGGGAGTACCAGTTCTTCGTGCCGCACGATGTGGGCAGGCTGATCCAGTTGTTGGGCGGAGACGACGAATTCGTGCGTCGCGTCAACTTCTTCCATACATCTGGGCTGGCTGATATTGGGAATGAGCCGGTGTTTCTCACGGTCTACATGCCGCATTTTGCGGGCCGGCCCGCGGTATCGGCGGAGCGCGCGCATTACTGTACGTATTTCTCTTTTTTGTTAACAGTGTTTGTTTCTGCGAGTAATATCAACGCCGAAGATGCTCCTTCCTACTGTTGAAAAAAAAAAGACAGACAGAGAGAGAGAGAAGTGTGCTAAACCAAAATCACAGACATCCCATCCAGCTTCAACACGTCTCTGGGCGGTCTCCCGGGCAACGACGACTCAGGCTCCATGGCCAGCTTCACGCTCTTCAACATGCTAGGTCTATTCCCCAACCCGGGGCAAAACATGTACTTCATCACGCCGCCCTTCTTCCCCTCCGTGTCCATCACAAACCCGGTAACCAACGCCACGGCCACCATCCGCGCCGTGAATTTCGACACGGCGTACAAGAATATCTACGTGCAGAGCGCGACGCTCAACGGGAAGAATTACACGAGGAATTGGATTGGACATGAGTTTTTCACGCAGGGTGGCACGCTGGAGCTTGTGCTGGGGAGTAGCGAGAGTAGCTGGGGGACGAGGAGCGAGGATCGGCCACCGAGTATGTCTGATGGGACGGGTGTGAGTGCGAGGGATGTGGATGTGGATGTGCGAGGGATGCTGAATGTAGGGTTGGGAATCATGTAGGGATTTATGAACCTGTTACCTTACCTTATCCTATATTATAATATCAGCAAGCCCATTACTTCCTTCATCTATGCCATCCATGCATCCGATCCACCCATTGCCAATCTTTCTCCAACAAAATCCCAGAAACACTGACGCAACTCTCTTTTTCTCTTACCCCCGCTAACATATCCAACTTCTTTCCCCCTCCTTTCCCCCGCCCCCCAAGACCCCAATAATCCATGTAAAACCGCGCCTTGAACCATGTCCCAACTACATAACCAGGCACTCCTCCACCACCTCCTCCAACCTACAACCTACCATAACCCGCACCTAAGCCTCCACCTAAGCCTCCACCTAAAACTACACACACTATATACCTGCTTCAATAAGACACAGATAGATGAGTAGATAGCCCTAGCCTCCACACTCAGACTCCACATTCCACACTCCACACTCCCAAACTCTCGCACACAAAGAAAAATGACATGATAACGCTCGTCATGTTAATAAACTAAAAACAACAAACAACAAAACATGTCATGTGTAAGATGTAGATTGACGCCATGACCGGCATGTTATGGTATACTATAACATCTGGAAAACATTGATTGTGATTGCATTCACGCACCCCCCTGCGTCTGGGTAATATTGTGATTGCATTCACGCACCCCCCTGCGTCTGGGTAATCTGGTGAAACCTGTTTTTTTTGTTTCTCTTTGTTACTAGATGAATGGATGGATGGATGGATAGACGGATGAATGGAGGTACTGTACTCGACACACAGATACACAGTCACACAGACACACAGACACACAGATACACGCGTACACGTACAGGCATAGTAAGAACAGCATGCTTTCTACTCTACTCACCGCACGTGTGTATCCGAGGTACATGACCAACACAACACAGGCTAGGTTAGGCGTGCAGTTCATCCGTTGCCAGGGCAGAAGAAGAAAGAAGACTGTCTGCAGGATGACCTCATTGGAAAAAAGGGGGAATGGGGGAGCCCTGCATGCATGCATGCATCCACGGTGCATCTCGTCGCCCATTTTTTTTTTCCAGCGTTCTGTCCATACAACATACACACAAAACACAAAACACAAAACACAAGATACTAATGCATACCAAACCGACGTTGAGGACAGAGAGAGAGAGAGAGAGAGAGAGAGAGATGGCATCAGCAGAGCATGGGGTGATCGACAGGGAAGTGGCTATGCATAACGGAGTTGGGAATTCTTTTCTGCAGGGACCTTGCCAGCATAATTAACAGTAAGTAGCTGGTAGTACCGAGGAATGTAGCTGGTAGCTGGTAGTGAGTATGCATAGCGGAGACCCGAGATCGTCACTGCAGGCGATCATCACTGCAGGGTAATTTCTGGCAAAAAAAAACGAAGCATTAAAAAACTGGTTTTACTGTTGAACACAGCCGGGTTCTCTTTGTTTTTTTTTTCTTTCTTTGATTCTGTTCTTGGGTTGCCGCGCGTATAGCGTGGCTGGAGTTGTTGTTGTTGTTATTGTTGTTGTTGCATTTCCTTGCTTCACTGCCTCCCCTCCCTCCTTGGCACAATATGGATTGACAAAGGAACGAAGGAAAGGAAAAAAAAAGATGATGATGATGAACAAAGCAAAAAAGCTGACAAGAAGTGAAAAAAAAGAAGTGTACTGAGAAAGTAATACTTCTCCATGTACAATGATGACGATGTTTTGGCCAAATTTGCATGGCACTAAACCAAGTAATAAGAAAAATGCAACAAAAAAAGGAAGCCCAATTACAAATGAATTGGAACAAACAACGCCGGAACCCGTTGAGAAACCCCAGTTGTCGGCTATCAGTGGTATTCGCCGTTAATGACTCCCGTTTGTACGCCAGTGCTGAAGAAAAAACATGGTTTTGATGCTAGTCGGAATGGTCTTCGACTTTGATCCCCAGAAACCCCCCCCCCCATGAACGCCAGAAGATGCGAGTGGTGATGATGTATTACAGGACATGTTTGTGTGCAGCTCTTTATGCGAGTGCAATGGCCTTGTCGTCGCAACTCGATGCAATCGACGGCGGAGGCGTAGGTGGTGCAATGTCCATCTCAGGTGCAACCCAGCCTTCTTGTCGTGCTATCCACATGACAAGGTTGATGTCAAAGTTCTCAAAGAATATCTCGTCGAGAAAGCGTGCCTTGACACCGGCATACGTGTGATATTCCTCTCGGATGGATTCGGGGTCGAGTCCTAGGATTCGTCGGAAGCATGCAATCGTGCATCCAGTCCTATGCTTGCCCTTATTACAGTGGACAAGGATGGGGTGGTTCGAGCGATCCATGATGAGACGCAGCGCTCGTGCCATTTCGCACGACTCGACGCGAACCTCACCCTTGTTTGCTCGGATATGAGCATGAAAGTGCTGTATGCCAGCGTCTTTCATAAACGCCTGGAACTCGGGCGTAAGGGGCTCAGGGACGAGGGTCAAGATGGTCTTGATGCCGACATCTTTGATGAAGCCATAGTTCTTCTCTTCAGGGTAACTGCTGCGGTAGATGCACCCAGGGAGAACAGCACCGTAGTTGGCAGGCGGAACCAAGGGCTGTAGGCGCTCAGGACACGACCGGATCGAGAGTGTCGGCGTCAGCGACCCGTGGGAATCTGATGTGCAGTTTGACGAGCATTCGTGGTCAGGAGGGTTCACCACGTCCTTGAGATCCTCATGCGTATTGTTGCCTGCATGCAGGATCAGGCCATCGCTTGCTGAGAGGCCTAGTGAGCGAACAAACTCCCTGATCCTCTCGTAAACGCTTTCCTGGGCGTCCTGGCTGCGGGCGCGACTCTGGTCAACGGGCGAGCCAGGGGTATCTCCGTTTAGTGTCGACATTGTACGAGGTTACGGGGGAGGGGCCTCTGTTCTTGGTGTGTATATGTAGAAGGGAATACGTCAGGCCTTGTAGCCACAAGCTTAGCTTGCGCCTAGCACTGCCACAGTGCTGCGCCCCTTGTTTATGGAGGGCAGACAGGCAGAGGGGCGGAGGCGAGGCAAGGCGTAGCGTGCGTGTTTGCGTGTAGACTTGCAGGGTGCGAGTCGACGGCGTGAGATGGTGTGGGGTGCGGTGTGGAGGGTAGAAGCCAGCGCGGACAGCCTGTTGGACGCGTTAGCCAATTGATTATATGGAGCGAGGCGTCGAGCTGCAGATCCGTGGTAGCGGAGTCGGCGACCCAAGCTTTGGGGGTGTGAATTCCAAGGACAGGGCTGGCACATGGCAGCGGCAGCGCGACTTACTTGGTGGTTAACGGTCTGTTACAGGACACATGTTGACGGCGTGTGGCGGTCGTTGGAGGGGGTGGCAAGGTTCATGGCGCAAAAGGGTTGGCGGCAGTGGGAGTAGCAGTGGGAGTGGGAGTGGGAGTGGGAGTGTGCAGCGAGGAGGGACGGGCGTGTGCAGAGGGCGGGTGTTTGTGCGCAGCTGTACGCGGGGGGGTTGTGGTAGCAACGCCAACGTCAGCCGTGGGTGGCGGGGCAGAGGGAGCGTTGTGAGAGAGGGCGAGCGGGCGAGCGAGCGCGAGAGACGGGGATTATAATGGAGAGTGGTTGTTGTGGACGAGCGAGAAATCGGGTACCTTCTAGCGCGGGTCGAGCTCTCTCAAGTAAGAAGGCGTCGGAATGGATCCGCCCACCTGGACATGGAAAAAAATCCAGGGTCCACCCGCGCCTTTGTACGTCACCCACGCCGGCCGCTCGCCGTGTGCGTGTTGGTAGCAGTCATGTGGGTTTCTGACTGTATTGCCATGGGCGGGTGGATGTGTTCAGCAGCGGCTGGCATGAAGCATCCTGACATTTGCAAGCTCGCCCGCCCGCCCGCCTCGCGGCCATGGTGGGCGCCAGGCTTGGAAGTCGGACAAGCTCCAAGCAACGCCCGCTAGGCGGCCAGGCTCGCACCAGCTACGCCCGCATTCCCGCCTCCAAGGCTGCTGCTGAGCCGTCGCCCAGGTCGGAGCTAGACGGCGCGTCTCAACACCGTCTCGGCCCCGGTCCTTCAGCGACACCTCTGATACTCGTATCGCCGTTGTCTCCGTCATGGCGTGCCACTGAGGCCACTGCGAGTCATGGCAGAGCGCTCCATCTGCTCTCTCTCAACGTGTGTGTGTGTGTGTGTGTGTGCTCCAGCCGGCACACGACAGCCGTCTGCTAGTAATACTGATACCACTGTCGGCGCACTCCCCCCTTCGCCGACATCATACTTTGCCATCGCCAGCCTCCAATGTCCTGGCCATCTTTTGCCTTTGAGTAGCTGCAGCCGTGTCGCGTAGCTTACCTGCTATAGGCAGTGCACAGGGCAAGTCTCGCGAAGCCTATATTGAAGCTGTAGGGCTCATCGGGCCTGGCCGTCGATCATGGCCATTGTGGCTTCGCAGTCCAGATCACCGTCTGTTGCCAAGTTGCCTTTTTTATTTTTTTTCTGTCTTCCGCTTCCCACTTGCTTGCCTGTCTGGCCTTTCTCTCGCCCTCACCACTTTCACGTGCAAGAAAAAGGTCCAGTGATCGGCCGCTAGACCCAAACAGCGCTAGCCCTACCCTCCCTCCCCCAGAGTCTGTGCGCGGGAAATGTCGAACCTCGGTCACTCCACCAGCAGCGTCCAAGAGCTGTGTTTTTGTGATATATCAACCGTTCCGTGATCACTAATACCACGGTTTGCTTCCCTCAGCAAAAAAAAACAATGGACCCCCCACGCTCGACGTCACGGTCGCGCCGGTCCTATCCGAACCTCCACAACCTCTCCATAGCCCCGCTCAGCGCCAAATACCCACTCGATGCCTCTGTGCCCCCATCGCCCATCGAGCCAGCTACCCACGCGCCTCGCACATCCTACATCGCCCAGAAATCCGCCCCTGCCACCCCCGGCGTGCTGAGCCTCAGCCAAAGCCGAAGCAGCTCGCGGCAGCGCACCAGGAAAGCTTATGCATACGACAGCTACTTTGTCGATGCCAGCTCTGAAATCCGCGCCCCTGGCGACATACCCAAGGCCAAGAGCACCAGCGTGCTGCATCCTGGCGTGAGCTTCACCGATGAAGTCGTGGGGCCAGCAGCGGCAGCAACAGCAGCAGCAGCAGATGGCAATGAGCCACGCCATCACACTCGAAAGGGCACGGCGCCGCTGCCTCTCCGCTCGCCCTCGATAAAGCACCACACCAAAGAGGCTGGCCACGAGTGGTTCCACCGCGCGGGCCTCGCTATCGCGGGCGAAACAAGAGATAGCAAAGGACAGGGCTGGCTGGTGCGCCGCGAAAGCTCCACCAGCCTCGTCGGCCAGACAGACGAGTACGAGCAGCACGCTTCGCATGACGACCGCCGCATGGCCCTCCTCTCGGGCGAGCACATCAGCGAGGCAGACTACCCCGTCACTTTTTCGCCCCGCGTGTCCAGGCCCGCAAGCCGTTTCCCAAGCCGCATGGGATCGCGGGTGCCGAGTGCGCGGCCCAGCCGTCGCGGCAGCCGAGTAGGAAGCCGGGTCGACATCATGACGGCGCTGAGCAGCAAATCCGTAGCTGCGTCTGCACGCCACAGTCTCGACCTGTGCGAGGCCGACGACCGCTTCGTGGAGCCCGACTTCATCGAGGCCGACGACGACTCGGACGGCGACGAGGAGGAGATTGCGAGGTTGGCGCGCGAACGCAGCTTTGGCCTCGGGGGCTGGGTCGACCGGCTCATTGGGTGGACGCTGTTTTCCGTCGACGAGGATAGAGAGGGCTCTGATACCGAGGATGACGATGACCATGTCGACGGCGACACGCATCGAGGCAGTGCGCTGAACCTGGAGAATCTGACAAAAGAAGAGCTGCAGCTTCGCCGCGAGGTCGAGGCTAAGCGCAGGAAGCTGGAGAGAGAGGCCATTATCGCGGCGTCAGCGCTCAAGACGCCTCATGGCGGAGGTGGTGCAACGGATGAAGCAGACAGCAGACCGAGCACAGCGGGAGGAGAGGGACATCAGGCGCGTGGTGGGAATGAAGAGGCAGGCGGTTGGCAGGATGCGGCGTGGTTGCTTAGTGTGGCGTCCAAAGCCCTTTTCTAAGCATTCCTGCATGGGGCAAAGGACACTCTCCTTGATGTGATTTGTCGTTGCTACCTCCATTTTTCGTCCTTCTTTTCCTCATCCATCTGTTTGCTTCATGCGATGAACAAAGAAAAAGAACAAGAAAAAAAACACGTGACGCGTAGACGGGCAGTAACTGCAGTGCAACCAATGCCGAATGAAGCCGGCATCGGCATGCTGTGATGGAATTTTTTTTTCTTCTAGTCTTCGCTGAGAACATACCCTCTCAGCCTGCTACTTGCTACGTCCTTGACGGGCCGTCCAAACACCACACAATAACGTCTCCCGTCCTCCTCGCATCATCATGGAAGTGAGAGTTGAAGCCCCTCCAGCACTCGGTGTACCGAGTGCCTGCCAGATGCTCGCCCAACAAGGCCTCTAGATGCTCAAAAAAGACCAGGTTCTGCGGCCACTCGCGCCTATAGCTGCGTTTGAACCTTGGATCCTGGCGCATCCAGTGCTGGCCAGACCGACTACCCCCGTCCTGGATGGTCTCAACATCTTCCATGTTGGCCTTGAGCCAAGCCACTGGCCCTGGCTGCATGTAGAACTCATCGGCCTCGTCAAGATATGTTGAGCGCTCCGCAAGCGGTACACCAATAGGCGGCTCGCAGGTCAGGGCCCATGCGGTAATTTCAGGGTAGATGAGATGCGAGCGCCAGGGTGTAGAGTGGCAAGGCATGAGAAAGCCTACCGTGGTGTTGGTGCGCGTGGCGGCGCTATGGGATATAGTTGATAGGGCATTGCGTGTTTCATGTTTATGGCGTAGATAGGCGAGCACATCGATGACGCCGCGTTGATGGACCTGGGACGCGTAACCGGCTAGAATAATGTTTGCTACCAGCAGACAGAGCACAATGGCTCGGCGTGAAACGGCAGCATGGCTCGGCACAAACGCCGCCAGTGGTTGGGCGGCCACGACGTGCAGAAAGGGCAGGATGGGATAGAGGAAGCGGACTTCCTTGTGGGATATCAGGCTCAGGACGGCCGTCATGAACAGTGATGTCCACGACAGACGGGCCAGGATTCGACGGGCCGTGGCATCACCGCCATGGGGAGCGCGCAGCGACTGCCATATGCCGACTATGGCAAAGGGCAATGCAGTGGTTAGCAGTAGCGGTAGGGCTTCGGTTAAATAGTAGTCGGCGCGGTTCTTCCCGTAAAAAACGGCGAGCGACTGAGCAATGTTGAAGTAGAGAAACGTCAGGGGCGGGAAGGTCCAGACCCCGTAGTAGAGTCGGTCGGACACGAGGGAGCCGACGACGACAACGGAGCTATTGCCGTCAGTTGTATTCCGGTCTGCTGACTTTTTTTTTGCCATGCGCAGTAGCATGTGGAGTGTGCATGGCTGCCCACAAAGCCCGTGTGTAGGGCCGGGGGGGAAAAGAGGGTGGCAGCGGATTCCGGGGAGGGGAACGAAGACTTACCCACAAAGCAAGGTTTCGCGGACCAGCACATAGCGCAGCCTGTGGGAAGCTTGCCATAGGCTTGGGACGGCAATGGATATCCAGATGAGAGCATTGGTGGGCCGGAGAATACACGCAAGCGCGGCCAGCAGTAGGGACAGGCGCAACCTGCACGAGCATGAGATTGGGGTAGGGCTACTGGGACAAAGGAGTGAATGTGTGCATGCCACGACTTACCCTGAGAGCGAGCCAGGATGGTGGTGCGAGTGGTGCGCGTTGGCACTAGTAGCCGCGGATGGGTTATTGTTTAGTGTACCCTGCCAAGGCCAGTGGTAGAGGGCAATCGAGGTAATGGTGGTTTCAAGGCAATTGGACAGGGTGCGGGTTGCGCAGAACCATTGCCAGGGGCTGCAGACGGACAGGGCCAGCTATGCGCAGGAACGCAAGGCACGGGTTAGAGAGGATGCAGAGGGTGGTGGTGGTGGAGGTGTCAGAGGAAATGTGTGGCGTACAGTAGCAAGAGCGGTACGGGAGTTGCGACGGTAGACTTTTTCGGCCAGTCTCCACGTGTAGTAATCGAGCAAGGCTGCGGAGACGGCCTGGGTGACTTTCGGCGCTACTAGCAGCAGTTGGGCTTGATCAGGTAAGCGCAACGCACCGATGGCAGCGACATGTGCCGCGAGACGATAGACGGCTGCAAATAGCGCTGGGTGCAGGGAAGAGCGCAATTGGCTTGTCCACTCCTGGGCGCATGGTGAGACTGCGGCCGAGAGGCGAGGGAGATGGGGAATGGGGAATCAAAGGTACCCAAGTGATGCAGGCGTTGGCGGCGGGACCAAAGGCCAGCTGCCATGCGGGCTCGAGCGACTGGAAGAACTCGTCGGGCTGGAAAAAGGTGCGCAGGGTCAGAGCGTTTGCGAGGCGGAAGGCCAGCAGCAGGGCCAGCAGAAGCGGCGGCGGCGGCGGCGAGTCACGATAGCTGGTAGCAGCAGTAGCAGGGAGACTTTGTGGTGGAGCAGCAGCAGCACCAGCACCAGCACCAGTGGCGGCTGGATGCGTGTCCCCTGCGGAGTGGGTGGTAGTGGAGGGAGAGGGCGGCATTGGGCAATCAGAAGCGTGCAAGCCGAGGGCGAAGCGAAGGGCAGGCGAACAGAGGGGAAGGGTCAGAGCAAGAGGGCCCGGCAGCGACAATGATGCGAAGCCGGTGGGCTAGCGCCTTGGCGGGCTGCAGCAGCCGGTCCGGCGCGGGCGAGGATTGGACGAGGCGGGCGTCGAGTGCAGAAAATTGAGGGTGAGAGCCTTACCGGATTAGGACTTTCACGATGATTGCTGAGGAGGCGGGCAGCGCCTAGACTGGCCTTGAGCAGGCCGGATCGTTTTGCACATGCACTACAGTGGCAGTGTGCGCTCGGACAGAGGGCCCGTGACTGTCACGATAGGTGCAGCGGGCATGACGGCGAGGACAGATGTGCTGATGGGTGCAGGCGGTCTGGAAAAGGGCACCGCATGCAGCAAGAGGGTGCCGGAGCAGACTACATGGACTACGTACTCGAGGGAGTGCGACACGGAGCGCGCGGTGGTGAGGTGGTGGTGAGGCCTAGGACAAGTGGGACGGCGCTTCTAGTGGGCATTCTAGGCGGATTGGCCGTGCTAGAGGCGGGGGAGAATGAGGGCGTCGGCGGGAGTCGGGTTGGCGGGTGTGGGTGTAGAATGGGCGGCCGGGTGGTAGGGTAGGATTGAGGGTGGTGGTGGTGGTGGTGCTGCTGCTGGTAGGGAGGGTGCGTGCGTGCGGGTGGGAGAGAGAGACGCGGCGATGATGCGCGCCGTGTATGTATCAAGGGCCGGGGCCAATGGGGGGGGGGGGGCAGGCGGGCACCGTGACGCAGACAGACAGACAGACAAATGCAAACGGGGGCGAACAAGCAAAGAACCACGAGGTTCCTGGGCGAGGGGAAATCTGGGGAAGGGCGTGTGCAGTGCAGAGTGTAGTGTGCAGATTGCAGAGTGCAGCAGAGCCAGAGCTCCATACATACATACATACATACTTACTTACTACAGTACAGACATGGTAGATGCTAATGCGAAAGAAAAAAAAAGGGTCCGATCTAGGAGCCGGTAATCATAATGAAGCAGCTAAGCAAGCAATATGCAATCACGCAGCTGCGGCGGGGGGGGGGGGTGAGAGCATCGAGGAGCGTCGAGCGTCGAGCGTCGCGGGCTCTTATCGCGCTTCATCGTCTAATGCGCGCGCCCTTGATGCCGACGCAACCGGAGGGCGGCAAAGTGGAGCCTCCTTGGACACTGTCTCTCCCTCACACCCTCGCTCCGCCCCCCTCCCCTCGTACTCGTCGCCGTCGCCGTCGCCCTCGGGCTGCCCCCTCGCCCCAAACGAGCGCCTCTCGCGCCCGTCTGGTCGGGGTGCAGATGGAGGCATGCTGGCGGGCTTAGGCGACGGGCAGCAGCACAGGCACGGGCAGCTGAGGGCAGGGCAGGGCCGGGCAGGGCAGGGCAGAGGCGTTCGTGGTGCAGGCGTGCGAGGGCAAACGAACCCCGCCCCTCGCCGCCCATGGGCGTGTTGAGGGCTGGCGGGCGGTGACCAGTGAACGCCTCGGCCCATGCACCACGACGCCCACGCCTATACCCGTTGGCGTCAGCTGCAGCCTAGCGCCATGTACGTGATGGTTGCTCGGCCTCCCGACCCCCCTCCCCAAGAGAAAAAAAGACATGGCGGCCCGTCTCGTTGCGCTGTCCGCTCAACACCCATCCACGCCTACACCCACCCACACACGACCACGCCCGCGCCATATCCACATGCACGCCCGCCTCGACCCTCTTACTCGCGCTGCTGCCCGCCCCATAATAGCCACATAGCCTCCCGCGCGCCCTTCTTGCTCCTCGCACACCACCACCACCACCACCACCACCACTACGCCCACCACCACTACTGCCACTGCCACTACTGCTGCCACTACCACCACCACCACTACCACCACTACTACTACCACAACCACCACCACCACCACCATCTCCACTAATTCCACTAATACCACCACACCCTCTCCACCACCCACACGCGCTACGTCTCCGTCGCCGGCCGGCTACTGCTGCTCGTCTGGCCACGGCTGCGCTGCCCTGCTTGGTCCTACTCCCTAGCCCGGCCTCGCGTATCCTCAGCGCGATAGCGTCCCCACCCCTCTGTCGCCAGTGCACGCCCCCGGCCTGCCTCTCCCGCCCTTTGAGCGTCATCCATGGGCCCTAAAATACCTGCGACTATCACTGCCCCATACGGTCTGCCCAACTGAGCCCGTCTTCTGCCTCTCAACTAAACCCATATCGAGCCGTTGAGCCCACCAACCGCCCGCCATCCATCCTCACCACTACCTCTTCCTCAACCCCACGATCCACCAACGCCAACCCCCCGTCCACGCCCCCCCGTCTGCTGCTGCTGCTGCTCTGCTACTACTGCTGCTGCTACTGCCACTACTCTCTCTCTCTCTCTCCTGCCACGGCCGCCGTTACTACCACTCCTCCTGCTGCGCCCACACGCCCTCGCCCGCCGCGAAATGAGACTATCCGCCCACGACCTCCGCCTCGACAAAGCGTAAACGTGCTGACATGGTTGCACTGCTGCCCTAATCTGGATCCATTGAGCTGCAGTTGCCATGGTCGACCCAAATGCGGCCTCGACAGCACATGGGGATCTGCTCAACGCCCACGCCCAAGGCCTGCCAGCATCACCCGTGTGCGACTCGACCTCCGACGACGCGCGCCCGCATTCTGCACACCACCACCACCACCACCAGCGCCCTGCAACACAGTCACCCGTCCAGATCCCCAATCATGCCCACGACCACCAAACCAGCGGTGACGAGACACCTGGTCGCCGCCCCGACGACGCTCCCGCCGCCGCCCTCCAAGTCGACGAGAACGACTGCACCCCCCGCTCCGAGGTGCCTTCCGTACCAGACACGCTCAACGCAGCCCTCCTATCGCACATGCGCACCCTCGACCCTGAACCGTCCTACTTCTCCCCACAGCCCCTCCGCATCTACGCATCCCCCATCCCCCACTCCACGCCCGCCTCGTCCAACCCCTCGCCCAGCACGAGCACCCATGCCTCGCACGCCTCCTTGACCAGCGTTGACGACGCCGCCGCCGCCGCCGCTGCTGCTGCTGCCCGCTCTTCGGCACCTCCCATGCCACAGCAACCACCGCCGCCCCCTCCACTACACGCCGATCGCCCAGCTTTTGTGCGAGACATCTCGTCGGTATCTACCGCCAGCAACGTGACGGTACGCGCCAACTCGGTAGACCCCATCTACCCCTACGCCGCCCCTCCCCGCCAGCGGGATGGTCCCGTCTATCCCAACCAGTCGTACGCTGCCCTCCATCTCCAAAAGTACCCCCAGCCCTACGTACCGCCCATTGTGCGCTCTCGCAGCTCCCACCCCTCGCACGCCACGGCCAACTCGCTGTCCAGCCTAGGCGCCTTTGGCCTCTCTTACGACCACTACAGGGATATCATGGACTCGGGCCCCAGGACCGTCGGGAACTCTCCCGTCAACACGCCCGGCCTCTTCAGCCCCACGAACCGCCGCATGTCGCAGGATACCCAGGCAACAGACGACGGCACCTACTCGACCCCTTGGCTGCACCACACGCACCGACAAGCCCCAAAAGAGACGCACATTGCCGACGTGCAGGCCGACCCAGTCTCGGGTCGCAAGATCGTCAACCAGTACGAAATCATCGACGAACTCGGCCGCGGCGTCCACGGCAAGGTCAAGCTGGGCAAGGACCTGGTGCACGGACGGTACGTCGCAATCAAGATCGTCGACCGGTACTCGAAGCGCCGACGCTTGGGCAAGAACAATAGCCACGAAGACAAGATTAAGCGCGAGATTGCCATTCTCAAAAAGGCCCGACACCCCAACATTGTCAGCTTGCTCGAAGTCATCGACGACCCGGCTAAGAAGAAGGTCTACATTGTACTCGAGCACGTTGAGCTTGGCGAGGTCAAGTGGAGGACCGAAGGTGCCAAGGAAATCTGTCTCGTCGAATGGCGCCGCTTCAAACGAGAATCCCAAGGCGTCTTCGACAACGACAGTGCCCTACGCCAAGACGAAAAGATTATCCGCGTGGCCCACAAAAAGCTTGCCTGCCAGCAACGTCATGCCGCCAAGGAGGCTCACTTTCGCCGCAAAGAAGGCTCATCAGACCTGGCCTGGAGCCTTGAAATGGGAATGGAATCCGAAGATGAATACTCTGAAAACGGCCGGTGCTCACAATCATCCACCCGTGACGATGAGCGCCCGCGCAGTCGAGTTCAGACGCGCGAGCGACAGGACGCCGGCAGCTACCACGACGACCACATGGAGACTGCTTTCCGCTCACCCGAGCCCACAAGCACCTCTTGGGCCGACGGCCTCGAAGGAACCATGTACGGCCCCTACGACTCAGACCTCGCTCGAGGGCGCGTGCCGAGCATTGCTGGCAGCTCATCATCTCGCGTGACAGACCCAGACGAGGAGATACCCGAGCACTTCAACTATGTTCCGCTCATGACCACGCATGCTGCCTGGGAAGCCTTCAAGGACACTGTCCTCGGCATAGAGTATCTGCACTACCAAAACGTCATCCACCGCGACATCAAGCCAGCCAATCTCCTGGTGACCAGGGAGCATCGCATCAAGATATCAGACTTTGGTGTCTCGTACCTGGGACGACCAAAGACGGACGATGCCAACGGCGATCAGTCAGAGACTGAGCAACAAGAGGCCGACGAAGCCATTGAACTGGCAAAGACGGTCGGCACCCCAGCCTTTTACGCCCCTGAGCTTTGTCGCACAGAGACGGACGCAGAAACGCCCCTGATCGACGGCGGAATCGACATTTGGGCCCTTGGCGTGACACTCTACTGCCTTATCTACGGCCGTGTACCGTTTCACGACACCAACACCTTCACCTTGATGAAGGTCATCAGCGAAGATGAGCCTTACATCCCCAGGTTCCGCTTGAAGCCCGTGGCCGAGCACTCCAACTCGCGGCCAAACTCACATGGGCGCAACACGCAACCCATGATGAGCAGTAAGAGAGCCCCGCACGACCTTGAGTATGAAGAGGTCGACGAGAACCTGCGTGACCTCCTGCGGCGCCTGCTGATCAAGGACGCGCGAGACCGCATCACCATACCAGAAATCAAGCGCCACCCCTGGGTGCTCTCCGGTATTCCCAACCACATCTCGTGGGCCGAAGAAACCGACCCCAGCAGATCATTTGAGGGTAGGAAGATCCAAATTTCCAAGGAGGATGTTGAAGAGGCCGTTGTTCCTATTGGCTTCGTCGACCGTCTCCGCTCAGCTGCCAAGAAGACGTCCGAGTTTGTCAAGGGCTTCACCACTCGCAGCTCGGGCTCAAGACGTCGCGCCCAGAGCTCAGCCGCCAACCCGGATGGGCCTGCAAGCATCAGCGCAAACTCTTCGAGTAGTACCATCAGTCAAGATGCCCGACCGCAAGAGGGCAGACGTGGCAGTCTGGCACCTGGTGCCATCCTGGAGATCTTGACCCGCTCACGTGAGTCGGAACACCCTCTTTCACACAGCGTCACGGCAAGCCCAGAGGCAAAGGAGCGATCAAAGTACTTTGACAGCCCCAGTTCTCGGACTGCATCACCCGCACAAAACACCGAGAGCCAGCGGCCCCCGATGCAGGACCGTGCCTTTTCGTCCATCAACACTATACGACAAGCAGACCTGCTGGGCCGATCAGCGTCACCGGGGCTTCCTCCTGCGTTGCCCGGCACTCCCATGGCCCTAGACACGCCTAGTGGCTCGCAGCTAGGCGGTCTATTTGGCGGCCTTCCACGACGCGTGGTCAACAGCATGAGGAGCAAAGACAGGCTAAGGCCCCCAAAAGAGCACAGCCGCGCGAGATCAATCGATAGAATAGTTGGGTGTGACGACGACGCGCATGGCGTTCCAAGCCTCGCCATCAGCACTACGTGTGCTTCTGGTCAAGTCAACCAACCCGAGGCCCTGAAGGAGATGTCACCCATTGCCAGAACTTCGTCACCCGCAAACTCCGAAGGACTCTCTTTCAGCAACCTCGACGACTCGTCGCGGCAATCCTCACTGTCTTCCATGTCTTCTCGCCTGCACAGAAACTGGGCTACCATACACGAGCTCGAGACTGGCCCTTCGTTGGGCATCACGTCAGATTGCCGGTCAGCGCCATACCAGTCTCAGCCGAGTGATCAGCGACCCTCTAGCTCTGCGTCTGTAGCGCGTGAAAAGTCCGAAGAGCGTTTTGACCGCGCAAAGGACGAGTACCGTCGGCGGCTAGGGGTCGAGCGGGCCGTAGCCCGTGAGCGGTCCAACTCGGCTGCGCAGCGGCCTCCCTCTTGCCTTGGCCAAGTTGCCTGTCCCCCCAGCCCAGATGACGAAGTCATGTTTAATCAACAGAGTCACCAAGAGTACTGGCACCGAAACGACCCATCCTCCGAGAATAGTCCTGTTGGTGGATCAAGCCGTCGCCTCGCCCTTTCGTCTTCCGAGGACCAGTTCTCAGCCATGTCACAATCCGAGTCGAACCCATCCATCCCCTCGGTCGCATCTGCCGACTCGCCCAACCAGGGCGCATGCGGCTCGTTTGACGAAGATTCTTGGATCACTTCATCGACTGTCCGCTCTTTACCGTCCAACCAATTCGAGTCTCCAGCAGACGACGCTGCCGGCTACGACGGCGACCATGCTGTCGAGAGCGATGAGGATGACGATAGTGAAGAAGACGGCCTGATGATGGGCTTCTCCAAGAAGAAGGTACCCGTGCACAGCTCCAACCGCAGCAACTCGGTTTCCAATGGCGAGCTCGCGCGCTCTACCATCCACCTGGGCCTAAACTCGCGCCGCCGCTCCACTCGTAGTGGAAGCAACGGCACCGTCAAGAAGGTTCCACCTGAGCCAACACCAGGTCACGAGCAAACATCTGAACCGCAATAAGAACAAAACACACCGCACACCGACATCTCTACTGTCATCTCCCGTCATAAATTACACGATACCCAGGATCTACCGCTGTACGACTACGCAATACATTTGACCACTCCCGTTTCACCCAAGTGTACATATACGAATCACCGAGCAAACAAACACAACGAACCATTACCACAAACACCAAGTGAGGCGGGCGCAGGGCGTTACCACACATACTTGGATTCTTGATAGCATGCATTGGGGGGGGGCGGGAAAGCGTTTCTAAAAAGAAAACGGCGTTTGTTTGTTTTTTCCTATTCTCCTAAAGAGTCTTATATATTCTTTTTTTTTCTTTTGCGAACTAGGGGATTATCTCTCATCTTTTCTGTTCTGTTCTGTTCTGTTCTTTTTTTTATCTTTCACTCTTACTATTTCTGTATCTATTCTTCATCTTCTCTTTTTATCTTTTTTTTCTTTTCTTCATCATCATCATCTTCTTCTTCTTCTTGGCTTTCGATACGTGTAGTGTCTCCCAGTTTCTTCACCGTGACGGCGACAGTTGTTTTTTTTGTTCTTTCGGAAACGCCAGAGGATGAGGAAAGTTGTTTGATGATGAATGGGAAATGCGAATAACGGCTGGAAAGGGGTGGGGAAGGGGGGTTGGGTGAGGAAAGGATAAACCATTGTGTGTGTGTGTGTGTGTGTGTGTGTCTTTATGTATGTACCTAGGTGCATTATTCCTTGTGGGGGGTTTTTTTTTCTCGCGTCTGTTTCGTGTGTGTGTGTGAACGGAATTCATGTGCGCAAACATTGACTGGCTTTGGCTGTTTTTTTTCTTCCCTTATTTGAAAGCATTTGCATGGTAGACTGGGTTTTTGCTTGATTGATTGAGTGAGTGAGTGAGTGAGTGATATTTGGTTGGTTGGTTGGTTATTTACATAGGAATGATATGAAGCGAGTGGGGTAGCAGTTGGTCAGTTAGTTAGTTAGTTAGTTGGTCAGTAGTAGCATTAGTAGCATTAGTAGCATCAGTAGCAGCAAGACTATTTCTTCTTCTTCTTCTTCTTCTTCTTCTTCTTCTTCTTCTTCTTCTTCTTCTTCTTCTTCTTCTTCTTCTTCTTCTTCTTCTTCCTCCTCCTCCTGTCTATCTCATTTAGATCTTTAGATTTGCATTAGTATAAACTAGGTAAGATTATGTTATATCAGGTACATTTAGACAGGTTAGATAGGAAGAAGAAGAAGAAGAAGGAGAAGGAGAAGGAGAAGAAGAAGAAGAAGAAGAAGAAGAAGGAGAAGCTAGACCTAGATATATATATCTATTTGTGTGTAGTGTTATTTATTAGAAGTATTACATAGTTTAATAGAGTAAGTACTAGTGTATGTATGTATGTATGTATATATGTATATATGTACATGTGCTTAGTTAGTACAATTACATATCATGATTACTATAATTACCACGAATAACAACAACGACAACGACAACGATATTAACATCGACATGGAGCATGCTAAAGACGACGGTGACACGACACGCTACTTTGACTTGTACGAGGTTTGTACGGTAAATAGGAAAGCTGCAAAGCAAAGAGCTAGCTGCGACATGCGACATGCGACATGCAACATGCGACATGCGACATGGTGGGCATTGTATGGCCTCGGATCTATATACCGGGCACTCTTTTATTATGCCTATGTATTTTATTTCCCCAAGGTGTTTACTGCATTTAATTTGTGTTTCTTGTTTTTTTTGAGGAGAGGAGAGCTTGGGGGGGGGGGGGGGGCAAGGCGCGGTTAGGGCGTTGGAGGCTGCGTTGTGTGGAGTGGAGTGGAGTGGAGTGGAGTGGAGCGAGGGAGGGAGGGGGGTTTGGGTAGGGATGCGTGCGTGTGTGCGGCTGCGATGCCATGCCATGCCATGCGATTCCGTGCATATGTGAGATATGTGTTGAGAGGGCGTTTTTTTTTCTCTCTCTTACTTACTTACGTGTATGCGTGTATGTGGGTAGGTGAGGGGGAGCGGGCGGGTATGTATGTATGTATGTATGTATGTATGTATGTATGTATGTATGTATGTATGTATGTATGTATGTATGTATGTATGTATGTATGTATGTATGTATGTATGTATGTGGGGGGATTTTCTGGGTCCAACGTGTGTTAGTTCTTGATATGTGGATTGTTTTGCCGTGTGCTGTGCTATGCTGTGTATGGTATTGATTGGATGTGGTTTTCTCATATTTGGACAATGGATATGGCTGATATGGCTGTTTTTACTGGCAGCGGGATATGCGTTGTATGCTGGAAAGCAAAAACAGCAAACATTGCTCCATGTCTGCTACCATCTACATGCTGTTACGTGTATGACAGCAATGCGTCCAAGGAATGAAGTGGGCTGGCCCGTCTCGGCTGCAATCAACGTTCCGTAGCGATGAATGCAGCACATGAATCGAAAAGCCTCGGCGGCTTCAATCGATTTCCAGTTGTCGCCTCGGGCTGCGAGACATGATTACGCACAACAGGCCAGTTAACTTTACAGCCATCATGCAAGCAATCAATCGTCGATCGCCGCGCCGCGCAGGCCAGCAGAGCACAGCACATTGCATGGTGTCCGTGTTTACATGCAGTTTGCTAGTCGACAGAAGCAAAGAAGGCGGGCGCGCTTGACCACCGAGGAGCCAGCAATCGGTAAGCCCGTTGTGGTTGAGTCGTTCTCAGGCTCGTTTGCCGGGAGTCGTGGTGGTGGTGGTGGTGATGGTGGCGGCGGCGGCGGCATGTCGCACAGGAGCATAGTCATGGCCGCAGAGGTGGGCGTATGCGTGATGACGCTTTGGGATGCGTCTGCATGGACAGGGGCTGCTTGACACGGACAAGGAACAAGGGTCGTGTTTGCATGTGCGAGCGTCGTGAGAAGCGATCGATGGCGAGAGAGATGGAGAGATGGAGAGAGAGGGGAAGCTCGCGAGTAGGTGTAGGAGAGTACGGTTCTCCCACCACCAGAGGGGCCTCGCACTCCAAGTTGCAGCGTTAGGGGTGGCGAGGGCTGCTTGGGCAGTAGACGCTAGGGCGAAGGTGAGCGCGTTGTGCTACTGCTGATGCCAACGACGTCATGATGGTTGGAGGAGTCGTTGGTGTTGGTCGTAACGAAGGATGCGTGTGGTCGTGGTCGTGGTCGTGGTAGTGCTAGTGCTGATGGCCGCGATGTGTGGGGTAACTGCTCTGCATCAGGACGAGCATAGTAGGAGTGCGAGTAGCAGTAAGTATGGATGGATTAGCGCAACGCCATGGTCCCAGATGGTTGTGCCACCCGCTGTGGATACGCTCAACGACGACGGAGCCGTCTCCTCGCCGTCCTGTTGGCTTCAGGGGGGGGGGGGTCAAGAGACGCGAGACGCGACATGCTGGCGGCGGCGTGCGGAGAAAATGGGGGCTGGATGGCTGGATGGCTGGGGGCCAGAATGACGGCATGGGGCGACATGGGATGCGAACAGAGTTTGGATGCTGGACGAGCAACGGCCAAGGCTGGCGTCATGTGATTCATCTGGCAAATCAATGGCACGACTCTGCACGGCACTGCACAGCACATGGTTGAGCGACTTTCACCCTCTGGCGCCGGCATCCCAAGCTGCGGACATAACGGCTGCATGTGCATCCAGTTGTCGTGAATCATGTCCATGTCTCCAGGCAATCAAACCACAAAGCCCATGCGTTATCGCCCATGCATGTGCACCACCACCGCCGTCTTACCAATACGTGGGTAACTTTGGCCCTTTTCCCAAACCACCCACTCGTGCATACCACGGCACCATCCCCTCTCACTCGGTACGCGCCGGAGCCCTCTCTTGGGACTGCACACAGCCCTTGCCCTTCACCTTGCATGTCTCCTCCATCTTCCATGGCCGTTCCGTGTCTCACCGGCCTTGGCTGTAAGTCTCACCACACTCGCCCATATCGCGTGGCATCCAGAAGACGCAGTCATCATTTCCATTTGCACTCGACCGCCGTGCATGACTATTGCCTTCCCCTTGCAGCCATGCGCTGTGCCTAGACATTCACTCAGTCGGCCTTGCTCGCCTTTCCCGCTCCCAGTCTGACATGGATGCCCCCTTCTTCTTCTTCTCCCTCTCAGTGACCATGCCAGCCAGCCGCGACACACGCCCAAAAACCACCAAAAAAAAAACACCTCACACCATCAGCCTCGATATCATGCTTTCTTTTGCCGCCCTCTCTACACACACTCACACTCACATGCCACGCCAGCGGAAAACGTCACACCCCTCGCTTCTTCACTGACTGGCTGCAGCCCTTCCATCTCCCATCACACACACACGCGCCGCACTCGCTATCCAACACACAACTTTTCCCAACACGGTGATGCACCCTCCATGCCAAAAAAAACCCCCCCTCTCTCCACGGTTCTACCCTCCCCCACCCCTCAAAAAAAGAGACAGAAAGACGCGATAAACCCCCAATCCAACCTTCTCCGTGCGGGAAAAAAACAATCCTAGTCCCTGATCCTTTTTTTGTTTTCCATTTTGCATGCACGCCATACTTGCATCAGTCACACCGATCACAGCCCAAGCCAGCGAGCGAGGTTTCCATGTCCGTCATCACCACCAAGGCGCCCCCCCCCCCTCCTTCTCCATATTGCGTAGTAGTGACAGGAACCTCCGTGTGTTGACACGGGCGCCTGGTGCGGCTACCAAAAGGCGCTTTTGTGACGTGCATTGCGACGTGGGGCCGGTGCGTGTCATGGGCGGGAGCGCCTGAGTCCAGGAACACATTCTCACGCCCTTCCCTGTGAGTCTGAGGGCGGGAGAGGCGTGGGTAGAGAGAGAGAGACATGGGCAAGAGGGATAGAGTGGGATAGAGTGAGTGTGTGTGTGAGAGCCGAAGGTAAGCGTCAACGGTGTGATTGATTGTGAAATGGCATGATTTTTTGTTCGAGGCGACGGTGTGCTGGGATGGATATGCGCCTGGAAAAATGGGCTTGGAGACACGTCGAGGTAGATGATTGTTGTGTGATGGCAACGGGACGTGTGAAGATGGGTCCTGTACACCAGTTACTTCCTGGTCCGCGCACTCTTGCGTGTACCCTCTGCAGCAGTCTTGGCTGGAGCTGCTTTGCGCTTCGTTCCTTTCTGTGGTGCAGGTTTAGCCCGTGTCTCACTGCCCCCAGCCTCATTGAGCTTTGTCTCTTGCGGCTCCTCTTCGACGCTCTCTTCGGCTTGCTTTGCTGCATCTCCCTTTCCTGCACTGACATCCATGTCCTCTCCCGCACTGACATCTTCCATCTCCTTCCCCAGCACCCAAGCCACCTTCTCCACATCTGCCACTCTCACCCTCGCACCAGCCTCACCTTCAGTAGATATCAGCCTCGACTTCAGCTTCTCCACGCCTCCCAGTATCATCTCGTATTCCTTGAGATTGTACCTGATCTTGCGCTGCCAGCCCGCGCCCTCGTTTTTCTTCATCTCGCTGTCCCAGCAACACCAGCGGAACAATTCATCTGAGAAAAACGGTATCTCGGCTGGATGCAAGACGGCGAGAAGCAGAGATGCTGTTGCCGGTCCAATGCCCTTTAATCCAACTAGGATTTTAAGAGCACCCAGGACGTCTGCCTGTGAGCGCTTGCTGGTACTACTGGTGCTGCTTAATACGGCATACGCCTTCTTTGTCGTCTCCTCGACCGCTTGGGCCGTGTTACTTTGCACGAGGCCCATCAGTGCAGGGCGAAATGTGCCATGTTTTCTGTATATATGCATTAGCAGCCATGGAGTAGAAGCTAATGCGCCGAGACGGACAGTTTCCACTCTACGAGTTTCTCGACTTCGGCTTTGGTGAGATGCTTGGCGCTGTCTTGTCTGTTGGCTACCGCGGCTGCTATGCCATCGTAGCGCTGCACGTCTAGGTCGCGCAGCTTCTCTGGGACCATCGCGGGGTAGCGAGCCAGGACTTCATTTATTGCTGCGACGCTGATTCTGCTAATATGCAATGAAGCCATTGTTGCCGAAATTCCGACGTGGAACATGTGAAGATGTATGTGACAGACTGTCGTGGGAACGCGTTAGAGCGTCGACGCGAGGTCACGTGCGAAATTGGCCATTGACTTCCTTGGTATTTTCAAAGCACTACGCATCAAGCATAGCACAAAAGAGTTGGAATACAAGTCGGAGATTCGTATTGTATTAAAATCCCAACTACATTCATATGCCAACCAGAATGATCCAGCAAGTCACCATCTTCCTCCATGGCTATGTTGACCTATCAACGGCACACGTCAAGTATACTGTCTACAGAGAAACCATGAGAAGCTGACTTCCTTTCGACCATGCCTCGCTCAATGAACAATGTATAGAAGTGTACAAGCAAAAACATGGCTCCTCACTCGTGCAGTCCTGGGCCATTCAATGCCATGCTATGTCGTCGCCTTTGGGCGTCCTCGTCCTCGTCCACGTCCACGTCCTCTCCCCCTTCCCCTCCCCGAACTGGAGCCCCTCGTGGGCACCATTGAAGGACGACCAGGCGGTCTACCAACAGGTCGTTTTGGAGGCGGTGCAGCTGCAGGAATCTCGTCTTCGCTCTCCGTGTCCGACACATTGATTGCCTGCGACCTCTTGTTCACAGGAGTGAATTTTGACGGCACAGGAATAGTGACCGTAGGCCCGTTGTTGGCCCGATTAGATGATCCAACGATTTTGATCTTTTTGCCATTCAGCCCACTTAGAATCGAGTTGGTAGACTGAGGAGGACCGTCCGGTGCAGGCTCTGCTATGCTAGCTTCAGGTTCGGGTTGCACTACATCTCCAAAAGACTCATCTTCAATACCTAGGTCGCCCAGGAAGCCGTCCATGATTCCTTCATCGTCGTCCGATCCAGGGAAGAGGGCTAGCTTCGCGCGGAGATTGTCTTCGGCCTCTTGTGCTTCAGCCTCTCGCGCTTCCGCCTCTCGTGCTTCCGCCTCTCGCGCTTTGGTCTCTTTCTTTTTCCGCTGCATTTCTAGGGCAGCGATAACGGCAGTGGCAGCGGCAGTGGCAGCGGCTTCGGCTTGCTGTGCGAGCATGAATACCTCATCCGCCTCATTGTCTTCTTCATGAATACCGTCTTCATCAGACCCGATTCCAGAAGTATCGACAGTGCTGTCGTGACCTCCATTTGCAGGTGGCCCTTCAGTAGGTCGGATGCCAGCCTTGGGTTTTGGAGGCAGAGGCTGTCGACGATTCTTGGCTCTCTCACGATCAGGCCTTATGGTACCATCTCGGAAATCTGCAGGCAACTCGGTTGGCAGATCTTCCTCGCCCTCGTTCTTCCGCGCCAGCCATGTTGACGCACGACCACGTGGTCGACTGATGTATTCAGGCTCTTCGTCTTCAGCAGCAAACTCGTCATCCGAATCAAGTGTAATCTCTTCAAATCGTTTCGAGCCCCGAGGCCTGCCAGGCTTTGCAGGTCCGCTAATCTCTGTATTACGCTTTCTGGTCGAGTAAGCCCCATCATCTTCTACACGAACACGGTATGTCTTTGCGTCCTTCTCCTTCTCTGCCGCGCTCTTGGGAGCACCAGACTCCTGCAGCACATCAGACTGTAATATTGACTGCACGCCGTTTGAGGGATCCGTTTCTTCGAGAGCAAGCTCTCGCACAACTTGTGGGCGGTCCGGCACTGGTCTCTGGCGGATCCTATCAAGATGGCCCGTGGCCAAGGACAGTTTGACAATCTTCGATTTACCCTTCATCTTGGCGGCAACCATGATAAGCCTGTCTTCGCGCTTGGCCTCATCGAGCAGCTTCCTCTGCACCTCTTTCTGGTACTGCTTGCCTGGCGCAGTCTTTGGCTGCAGAGAGTATGTTTCGTCTCTCTTCGGCTTCTTTGATTTGGGCCGCCGCTGGTACTCGTCTGCGTCATCATATTCGCCGCCGCGGCGCTTCTGACCAAGACGCGGAATCTCTGCACCCAGGTCGGGATCATGGTAGTAGGATTCACTGTTGGCACCCCCAGCAAGATATGTGGCACCAAAGCCACCGCCATTGGCGTTAGTGAGCCCGTTAGTATCCTGGACAGGCGAGTAAATGATTCCATATCTTGTGTTGGCACGATCGTCCTCCTCCATATATCGTGCATCGAGTGAGGGGTCCACCCTCTTTTCCATCTCTGCTTGCTGCATTCGGCGTTGCATCGCGTTTTGGGCCATACCCTCTTCTTCTCGTAGCCAATTCAGATTGGAGACACTAAAGTCAACGAGGCATTCAACTGAACGAACGTCGGCCACCTTCTTTGTATCATGGCCGAGCAGAGTTCCTTTCGGCTCATAAGGGTGCTGTCTGGGATCACGCCGGCAAGCACCCGTATTGCAAACCCTCAAGCAGTGCGGGCATTTCCAGTTGTAGGCTTCCATGACAATTATTGGCATCATGTCGTGTGCACGGAACAGCGTTCCGTAGCAATATGCCAAGTCGCAGCTCGAGCAAAACGCCATTTTCCACTTTGGGTGCCGATGGAGGCAAAAGTGGCATGATTTGTGCTTTGCCAGCCATTGCTTTGACTTTTTCTTCGCAACTTTCCTGACATTGCCGTACTCGTCCACGATAGGCTCCTCGTCATCGGATGCGCTCTCTGGCTGCGGGTTTTTGATGTCGACAAATGGCCTAATCCGTAATTGCTCCTGGCAGACCTGGGCCAGAGTCTTCTTGCCAAGATATCTTCGCTCCTCCTGCAGCGGGAGGGGTGTCTTTTCGTTCACATGGCCGTCAATGTTGATGATTTGGGCACGCCATTCTTCGTACTTGTGAATGAGGTCCTTCCATTTCCACTGCTCGACCCATGTGTAGCCAGATTGACAGCCGCAACTTCGACCCATGGCATAGCAATCCATGCAGACATCGTAGGGTTCCTCTATCTCAGTACTAAACAGGTTCTTGCAAGACTTGCAGCTCAAAAAGCGATTGAAGATGTTACATCGACAGTAGGCGCACGTGACGTTGCTGTCATAGGGCAAGAATTCCGGGTGTTCTCGTGAGTCGGGCGCAAACATTTCTGATAGAAGAACGATCTTGTATAGGTCAAAAAGCCGTTTGAAGTCTTTCTGGATCTGCTTGATCTTGCTCGAGCGCTGAATCGCCTCGGCTTGCTCACCACCTGCTTCGACCTGGGCGCGAGCGGACTTGATCAGATTTGAGTACTTGAGAAGGGTGTAGTATATGATGGCCTTGTTCTTGTATTGCTCATCACGGCAGACGACGCGCGAATTGGGCAGCGCTTCATGCAAAGCAAGTTCGAGAGTCTCTACAGTCGTACGGTTCCAGGCAATCTTCATGGTACGGGTGCCGCGATTCCAGACTTGGTGGGGCGCTAGTGGCGGGATCAGGATGAAGTCTCCGGGTCGCTGCTCTACAACATAAGTCCGGAACGGTGCCTTTTTCCAAGCGATGAGTTGTGCAAAATGGTTTTCCACCTCAATGTCGTGGCCCAATATCGAGAGCCAATACTCCGAGACAACGTGGCGGTCTTTGCTCTCAGTCATGAACCAGATGGACGAACCCGGGCGCTCTGTCTTGCCATCTTCGCTGATGGTGGTGGAGGCGTTCACCATAATGTTCTGACCGAGGGACGCGCACATTTCTCGGTGTGAAGGCGTGTAGGTGCCTTCATGTCCGATATAGCACATGAGGTTTTCAGCACGCATATCAGGCGGTAGACTGCTCATGAGGTCTCCAGCTCGTCCAATGCCACGACCTTTGCGCCCGCCAAACTCATCTAATGCGCCAGGGCCGCCAGGCTCACCAGTGCTCTCGTTGAGGTAGAACAGCCCCCCTGGGATATGATCCTTGAGTTTGTCTTGCCATACTTGTGGGCAGTCAATATCCTTCAGGTATATCCGCTGTCTCTTCTTGTCAAGGTACCGGTCGGGTGCATCGAAAAACTGCTCTGTCAACTTGGGCAGGTGCTTGAGGTAATGCTTGATGGTGAGGGGGATGATCTCTTTTGTAGAGAGGTTGGTTGCATTCTCAACTGTCTTCTGTTAGCTATGCGCTGCAGCTATTGCACCGGACCTGCTCACCTTTGTCGCCATGGTTGTCGCGTAGCCACGAGGGAGTAAAGGTCCAGGGATCCAGCACCTCGTCAAAACCATCAATAACCAGAGGCTTACCGCCTATGATTACGTGTAACAGAACAAGCTTCTCAAACGCCTCCACGCCATTGTTCGCAATCATCTCATACGATGTGCGGTCGACATACTGGAAGTTGTCGGCGTTCTCAACAAAAGTCCGCACGTCGAAGTCTGGTGGGATGGGCTCAAAAGAAGCCCGGGGGCGCGCAGCCGGCATTATGGGAGCTGTTCGTTGGTATGTGGCGATCGAGGCGCAGACACGAGAGGGGCGAGTGCGTCTATAGCAACCACCTCCGCGCCGCTGTCGCAATCGCAAATACGAGAAACTGTACCTGATAAGTTCCTAGAGGCTCACACGGACAATGGCGATAGCCTCAAGAGCAATCTTTGCCGAAACGCGCCTCTTGGGGAGCTGGGCGGTAGCCGAGTGAGAAAGTAAGCTGTGGTCGCGCCCGCCTGTCGCGACCGGAACATTTGTCACGTGCTGATGAGCGCTAGTGCCAACTAGCGCCTCACACCCACCTCATCGGTCAGTAATCCTTTACCAGACACAATTAGTGATTACAAGGACTTGACAAAAACCGCCCCTCACCCTCATTCAGGGTGCTTCACCATGACAATCTCTGCGGACTAGTGCGCTCACCCGTTCAGCGAACGGCACCGTTCACAATGACTTTTCTAAAATTATGTGCTGCACAGCCAGCATCGCTATATCGGCAGCATGCTCGACGGGCGTTTACATCACGTCTGATGCAATCATGTGGACTTCCTTCGAAATGGATACGAGGCCATTCGTCCATTCCCTTGCTACCCGCTGCACATCGACCCCAAATTTTACAAGTCACAAAGTTGGTTCCTCCAACATCAGGCCTCCGATCAGGAGTTGCAACAGCAGTTGCATCGCAAGACGCACCCTCCAAACCGCTTCCGGAATACAAGCCACCGACTGCTGGCATTCTATCCTATCTCCCCCAAAGGGCTGTTCCATACGGCGAATTGATAAGGCTGGACAAACCAACCGGCACCTATTACCTCTTCTTTCCATGTATGTTCAGCACTCTCCTCGCTGCTACAATGGCCAATCCTGTTGCGGCGCCTGCCACGGTTCTTGGGACAACGGCCCTTTTCTTCACTGGATCCCTCGTTATGCGAGGAGCTGGATGCACCATTAACGATCTCTGGGACCGTAATCTCGATCCACACGTTGAGCGAACAAGACTCCGGCCAATTGCTAGACGCGCCATTACACCTCAGCAAGCACTCGTCTTTCTTGGTGGGCAGCTCACGACCGGTCTTGCAGTGCTTTTATGTTTTCCGATGGAATGCTTCTGGTATGCCACGCCATCACTGGCCCTGGTCACACTATATCCTCTGGCAAAGCGAGTCACGTACTACCCGCAAATCGTCCTGGGGTTTACTTTTTCATGGGGCGCAATCATAGGCTTCCCTGCAATGGGTGTCGAATTGCTTGCGAACCAAGCAGCGCTCACTGCGGCGGCATGTTTGTATGCCAGCAACATTGCATGGACTGTTCTGTACGACATGATATACGCGCACATGGACATCAAAGATGACGCAAAGGCTGGTATCAAGAGCATTGCGCTCAAGCATGAGAAGGAAACGAAGAAAGTGCTGTCCGGCCTCGCTATTGTTCAGCTCGGTCTGCTATCCGCAACGGGTGTTGCAGCTGGACTTGGACCCGTCTTTTTCGTTGGTTCAGTTGGTGGGGCAGCACTCACACTCGGCACTATGATTCGCCGAGTCAAGTTGAAGGAGGTTAAGAATTGTTGGTGGTGGTTTGTCAACGGCGCCTGGTTCACAGGAGGCGTCATCAGTCTGGGTCTGACGGGAGAATATGTGGCACATCTCCTTGGTTGGTACGGGGATGCTGAAGAGAAGGCAGAACAGAAGCTTGCTGCATAGATGATACTGGTATGGCACGCAAACTGTGTCTTGCTAGAACTTTTGAAATATCGTAACTCAAAATACATCATGACCTACTCTGCATCTACTCTGCGCACACGACCACACTGCATGCGATAATTATTAGATTGAATTGTCGCAGTTCGAATATAGCCTTACTCAGCATCACTGTTTGTCCAGCCAAAAATAGCTCTTAGTCAAGGCAAAGTGGGTTGAGCTAAGTGCCATTGCCACAGTCGGCGTCCCTGCCAAGCACGGCGTTCTGCCATTCGGGCCCGCCCAGTGACAGCATAGCTTCCCCAACTTCGACCTCCCGCATCGCGCCATATCCCCGCCAACTCTCCGCCGAAGCGCCTCATACAGCGACCAAGGCTGTATTCAGTAGACGCAGCCTCCCCACTGCCAGCGACATAATCTGAGCGGCCAAGGACGCGCGACCGCCACAGCAATGGCTTCGCGACTGGTGCTGGTCCTAGGCGACCTCTTTATACCAGACCGAGCATCTGTATGTTCCCCCAGCCACATGAGCATTGCTAGACCTCACAAACTTACAGGCGACATAGGATATACCCGCAAAGGTACGTTTCCCGCCACCAAACCCCCCATGGCTACATGGCACAACGCGCGCACACACACACACACACACACACACGGGCATGCGCTCACTCAACCCACAGTTCAAGAAGCTCCTCGCGCCCGGCAAGATCGGCCAAATCCTCTGTCTGGGCAACATGACGGACCGCGAGACGTACGAGTTCTTGCGCGGCATTGCGCCCGACCTCCAGATTGTCAAAGGCGACTTTGACGTGGAAGCGCCCAATCTAGCGCTGTCAAAAGTCGTCACACACGGAAGTCTGCGCATAGGCTTTACCCACGGTCACACCATCATACCGCCGGGCGATGGCGACAGTTTGCTTATAGCGGCGCGTCAGATGGACGTGGACGTGCTTTTGTGGGGAGGCACGCACAAGTTCGAGGCGTACGAGATGGAGGGCAAGTTTTTTGTAAACCCGGGCAGTGCGACAGGGGCCATGTGCACCGGTTGGTGGACCGAGGAAGAGGATCCTACGCCGAGTTTTGTCTTGATGGATGTGAGTTTTACCGCCGACTGGCCGTTGGTTGTTGGGCGGCGGAGAAGAACATTGTGCATCCGAGGGGCAAGCGACTGACAAGGGCAACAGGTGCAAGGTGACGTACTCGTCCTGTACGTCTACCAACTACGGAAAGACGCCGAGGGCAACGAGAACGTCGCGGTGGAGAAGGTTTCATTCCGGAAAAACGGCGGTGGTGCAGCATAGTTGTTTCACGACGGCGATGACGGCGGGAGTGGTACGGGAAAGAAGCACGACTTGTAATGAAAATAGTATCGCTCGTCTGCTTGCGAGAGAGCATTCGATGTTTGCATGTTCTGCAACGAATAGGAGACAATCAGCATCACCATGTTACCCTTTCCTCTCCTTTGCAGCAAGACGAAAGGGATTGTCAAAAGAACAAAGAACACGACTTTTTGGGCTTGATTCCTCAACAACAGCGTTCGACCGTACGAGCAGCCTGTCATTACATGTCGTATTATCGTACAACGCACCTGCAACCCAGCCCAACTCAACCCAACCCGTCGCACTGAATCGCGTCACATCCAGTGCCATTGCACCACGACACGACACCACGCCACCATGGCACGCGCATCCGAGGCACCTCGCAGGAGGAATCCTAGCGCAAGTCCCGTACGCATGTTGGCAGTCGATCAGTGGGCATGTTAGTTTTTTCGGTCCATTAGTTTTTTAGCAGGCCAATCGATCCACACCATCTAATCAAAGGCGGTTCAGTTCGTCCAGTCCGCTCCATCCACGCAAGTCGACTCTTACCCACTCTCTCCAATCCCATCCATGCAGTCCCGTCTAGTTTCCGTCTAGTCTGTTCTAGTCCAACCCAGCCCCCATCTAGTCTGCTCGAACCCAATCCAATCCACTCGAGCCTAGTAAAAGGGTAGACTGGGGTAAACTAAACTCAATGGGAATGGAATGGAGCAAGTGGAATGAGTTGAGTGAATTATCAAACGCAGTTAATCTCAGGGAACACACAGCAAGGGCATTGAGAATGCAGTGCGAGAACAAAACACTCCGAGGGACCGAAATAACGCACCGAAACTAACATGGCTGGATACCTAGCACTCAACCCGGCCAACGAACGGACGAACAAACCCCCTCGACCCGACTAATCGGCAAACCAACCGATGAAGCAACCGAACGAGCCAACAAAAAAACTAACATACCAATGTCTGCTACGTAGGTGCACAACCCCCGCTCTTCGTTGCGGATCCCATCCCATGTCCTCGGCTCAACATAGCAAAGGGAAGAGGGTAAGAGAATGGGAAACGTAATGGAAAAGAAGAGACGCAATAGGAGAGGTAGGGATAAAGAGAAAGCGGGAACAGCAAAGACGACGACTACGGAAAAAGCCGTAGTATCGTGACGATGGGTAGGCGATTGAGTGACGGCCGGGGGTGTGGGGGGGGGGGTGGATCTTCTTCTTCTTCTTGTTTTTTCTTATGTCCGGCTGCTTGACTATATTTCATCTTGGTATTTGGTATTGCATTGCATGTTATCTACATACGTAGGCGTGTGTGAATGTATCGATGTGTCTATGTATAGAAGTAAGTGATGATGATGATGATGATGATGATGATGTGGACTGGGGGCATTTTCATATCGTCCCCCATCCGTGCATTAAGTTGAATCTGTGTATTTGTCGAGTCGGAGGTATGAATGGAGAGGTATGTATTAGTTTAGTTTAGTGTTTGTCCATGCATGCATCCGTCCATCTCCTCTGTCTTTCAGTCCAAGTGACTGGCCAAGTGGCCATGCAGGTGACCAGATGGCTGGCTATCTCGCAGTCAGTATTTGTATTTGTATTTGTATTTGTACTATCCCAGCTCGATACACGAAAAGAGCTTTGGAACGAATGCATTGAATTGGAAATCTCCTCGACGGATCCATGGGTGCGATGAAGAATTCAACTCAAACTGCATAAATGCATGACCCTAGAAAAAAAAACACCCCCAAGCATAGCAAACACTCAACCCACTACACCCTACCCTACCCATACACAGTCTCCAAATCAACCAACTAAGCCCAGAGATACCCACCCCTCTCCCTTTCCCCCCTTCTTCCCACCCCCCCATTCGCCCCATTCGTCCATTCGTCCATCCAAGCCAACGCCAACCCCAATTCGACCTAGAAAGGCAAAGTCATGTGGCTACCACATGTGTACGTGTATACATGTGTATGGGGGGGTGGCAGAAGGGCATCTCCACTTTTTCATTTTCATTTCCCTCTTCGCTTGCGTTGCTCCCGAGGCTATGCATGTAATGCGAGGGGCGGAGGAGGTTCCGCACTAGACTCAGAGGAGAGGAAGTGGTACAGATGTGTGTGTGTGTGTGTTAAGATCAGCACAGGGGATTTTTTTTGTTTTGTTTCGTTTATTTGAGGACATGTGAGGGGGGAATGGGATTAGTGTTGGATAGACAATGTAGGCGGTACAAGTGTATATGTCTATGGGTATAGTAATGATAGAGAAGGAGGGGAAGGAGGTGGTGGTGGTGTTTACCAACTCAATCAACTCACTCATTCAGTCGTCAAATCTATTCCGAAACAAACACACGATCAATGCAGGAAATGTGAATCACAATCTCCCTAAAAAAAAAGCGTCATGTGCACGTAATCTAATTCTTGGAAAACACGCTGCACCTGCAATCCAAGGTCAAACAAAAGAGAAGGAGGAGGTCTCGTGGTCATCGAGAGACTCTACGCCTACTCTGTCAAGCAAGAGAAAGAAGAAGAAGAAGAAGAAGAAGAAGAAGAAGGAAAAAAACAAGGTTTACCCATCAAAACTAGGTGCGAATCATACATGTCTATTTTATAACGTGCGTGTGTGTGTGTCCATTATCCCACCCACACACCCCTCATTGTTTGTTAGCCCCGATATGCAGCCGACCAGCCAACCAAACAAAGACATATGCATGCATGCAACTATGCAGGCGTGAATCATCAGCAGCAGCATCATCATCATAAGTCTTATGATCGTTAATATGTAGCTCTTTTTTTCTTGCACACGCGCGCACTCTAGTTTTTTTTTCCTTCCTTTCTTTTTCTTTTTCGATTGTTAGGGTGGAATGGATGAGTATCTGAATGTGCTGAAAGAAACAGATGATCATGGTACGAGTACCCACCCACCAAACCATGTGCATGTTCCGTCGCATACATGTAGTGCAGGCGTACTATAGGGGGCAGATCGTCAACCACTCCCCACTAAAACGCACATCTCACGCATGCCTCTTGCCTAGCACGTCCTTGACTGCGCGACCAACGAGCTCGAAATAGGCGGGCAGACAAGCTATCATGCCCCAATTGCGCTCGCCCTTGATCTTGCGGCCATTGGCAAAGTCGATCTGCTCGCCGTTGAAGTCGCTAATGACGCCGCCGGCCTCCTGGAATAGGAGGTGGCCGCCGGCGTGATCCCAGACGTAGGTAAAGCGGTCGAGCGTCTTTGGAATGCGCACCATGACGTCTGTTGCGCCAAGGGCAAGGGCAACGTACTTCATCTGCTGGGACCAGAGGACTGTGCCTGGCCAGGATGCGCCGAGAAGGGTTGCGACGGCCTTGTGCTCGGCCTGCGATAGCGACGTCTTGCCAATAGTTGCCTCGACAAAGTTTAGCTCAGAAGGCTGCCTGGCGGGCAGTGTGGTGAGATCCACGTGCCGGGCGTGTGCTCCCAGGCCCTTGGCATCCATGGTTCGGACAAAGGTGCCTTGCCCCTTGACGGCGGAAAGTACCACGCCGTAACCGTCCGTATCGACCGTATCTTCGTGGAGGCGCGTCTGACCCAGCGGGCCCTGGACGGCAAAAGCAAGATTGGGGCAGGCAATCACTCCCACTTGCTGCACGCCGTCGACGAGCAAGCAGAGGCAAACGGCATATTGCTGGCCCTGCATAAAGGTTGCGGTGCCGTCGACAGGGTCCATGACCCAGACACGTCCAGATCCCGTGACTTGTCCTTTGCCTCCGCGATCAATCAGCTCCAGCATGTCGTCCTTGGTCGTGGGCAGGGCCAGGGGCTGCTCGCCGTCTTTGCCCTTTGCATCCAGACATGCGTCGGCCTCGTCTTTGGCCTGTTGCACAAGCTGCCACACACGGTCTGCGAGGGGCTCGTTTTGGCGCAGTGCATCTGCGCTCTCCTCGCCGAGAAAGGCGTCGTGAGGGTACACGGCAGCGAGCGCGGCGATGAGAAGGGCTTGGGCAGCAAAGTCGGCAATGGTGACGGGGCTGTCGTCTGCCTTGGTCTCGGCTGACACGTTGTTGGAGAGGCTGCGGAGAGCCGCCTTTGTGAGGAGCGATGCATGGTGGACGGCGCGCAGGGCGAGTCGGAGCTCTGCGGTGTAGGCCATTTGTGTTGGGGGCAAGTTGATATCCACTGCGCGGTGCGTTGTGTGCGGCTGCTACTGGCGGCGAGGGGAGTCTGGATAGCAGGTTCAACGTGTTGGTTCAGTGGAGGAGATTGAATGTGGTCGAGTCTGCTAGCAAGCGCATCATAAGCGGGGCCGGCGTCGTCTGCGCATCAGAGTCTTCTCCACCGTGAAGCTCGACGTCAACGTCGCCATCAGCCGCAAAACACTGCCCAAGACGCACAACATGGCGTGCGTGATGCCATGTCAAGCGGGAGCCGGACATGACGATTTGCAACCTGACGAGGCCGAAAACATGAGTCAGACGAGCTAGCGCAAATGAGGGTAATTTGAGTTTTTTCTCATACAACAGAAAAGCTTGACGGTCCGACTAACCTGTTCGTGGGGTGATACGGAGCAAAGTATCGTCAGGTCGTCGAAACGTCTGGCGGCACCGTGTCCGAATCCTCCCGCAGGTCCCTTTTTTTTTGCGGCCAACAAAGCGGAAGGGGAGCAAGGAAAGACAAAGAGCCGTTGGGAAGAGCCCACTATCAGCCCACCGCGCAGAGAAAAAGAACGGGCCGATAGGTCGGGAGAGATGCAAAACTCGGGAGATGGCCATCAGGGATCAAGCGAGCAGAGAGAGACGAGGCTGTTGAACAGCGATTCCCCTACCACGCGGGTTGCGCTCGGTGCAGCATTTGCATCAGACGAACCATCACATCACGTCACACGGCCTTGGTTCGCTGCGACGAGAACGGGGGGCAATGTGTGTGTGTGTGTGAGAGAGAGAAAGAGAGAGAGTGTGTGTGCATCTAGAACGAGCGCGGCTGGCCACCCACGGCGTGTTCCGAGCTTCCCCAGAGTGTTGCAAATGTTGGCAATTTGCAGCTGCGATACAGTTTATTGAGGCTGACAGCCATTTCAAACGTTGTGATGGGCTGGCACATGATGCATATCTAAGCGATGTCGCAATCACGGCTGCAATAAGGAACGTCTCCACCACCTTTGTGGGGTGGGCGAAGGCAATCTCGCAGACTAATAGCAGCCAGAGCTGTTTTTGGCACCAATAATGGGCCATGCCGCTACGGTACTGGCGCTGAATCGCGGACGGGACGGCAGCCAGATATGCTATACGTACACCAAGCAGATAAGCAAAATTTCAAGGGGCCCGGATGGATGGCTTGCCTCTGCGCTTGTCGAGATAAGAGACGGACTGGTTCCTGCAGACAGGGTGCAAGCGTCAACATGTTCACTGGCGAGCGGTGCATCCATCGCCTAGGGTCCTGCAGCACAAGACCTCGAGGGAAACGAGCGTGGGGGGTAGTCTCTCTCTCTGTCTTGCGTACGCCCTCGCCGTCTCTAGAATATCCTGTATGTATGTGGTCATGCAGGCTGCTCGTGTTGGACTTGGCCTTGCGAGTGACTTGCAGCTGAGGGCAGCGTGATCATTCGCCAGCGTCCGCATGGGGGACCAGCGCGAGAACCGTTTACAGAATGGTTGCTTGGTGTGGTCATGGTAGGGGCGCAGGCTCGTGGCCCGAGCGTTCTTATCTCGCTTGCCCTGGGTAGAGAGGTGGTGTTGGAACAGCCTAGAGTTTCTCTGGGACGGTTTGCGCAAGCCATTGACAGCGGGAAAAAACCAAAGCTGCAAGTGAAGAAAAAAAAGCTTCTGGCCACCAATGCAGGCTGGCGTCGCTCTCGCCGGGAGCCAGATTGGGCGAGAGAGAGAGGGGGGGCCAGGCGGCAGAGGCAGAGTCCAGATCAGTCTGGTGGTGAGGGATTGGGGCCACACAGGGGATATTGGGGCGACGATGATGATGAAGAAGAAGAAGACGAAGAAGAAGAAGAAGAAGAAGAAGAAGAAGAAGAAGAATTTGGTTGAGCCATGGCAGTCGGGCGTTGGGGTGTGGGTGCGAGAGTGCGAGAGGGGTGGTGCATGGACAAGATGGAATGGACAAGATCGTCGCTGCACGGGGCTTGGAGGCGAGGCTTGGAAGGGTTCTCAGGATGCAAACGGCAGCGCAGCGGTGCATGGCGACAGATAACGTCTTCAGAGCGTACGGGCGCATACGGGCGGCTTACGAGAGACGGACGAAGAGGCAAGGCGTCGTGTAACTCGACCCAGGCGGCGGGCAGGGCTTCTGAGACGGGACTGGTGGGCGGATAGCGGCAGCCGGGCGTGAGGAGATGGGGTTGGCGGGTGAGGTGAGCAGGCGCCCCATGACTGCTGAAACCGATGAGCGGTATTCCCTTGATGGCGAGTGGGCGAGAGCCATGGAACTTGAATAGGAAGCCTTGTTCCTAGATTTGCACATCAGTCATCTGGGCGGCCGGCGCAGGGCCGGCGCAGCTGACTAGGCGGGGGGTGGGCCAGGGAAAAGCATGTCGCCATGTTGCGCTGCTGTCACGCAGTCCGAGGGCGACGAGGGGAGCGTGTCAGCCGATGAGGGCCTTTTCTGGGGGAGCGCGCATCCCTACGCAAACGGGGGCACGACAGCGCGCGCGCGTCGTTTGGTGCACCGCGGCCGACAGGCGTGGGTGTGGGTGGTGTTAGTGGTGGTAGTGTTAGCCGTGGTGGGCGTGGGCGTGGGAGCGAGCGGGGCGGGCATGCAGCGAGTGGGCAGCGAGTGGGCAGCGAGTGGGCAGCGAATCGAGGGCAGCAGCTGTTGGAGCAAGTGGTGGTGGTGTGGCCTGTGGCAGGGCTAGTTTGGGGTGGGCAGATGGGTGTGGGTGTGGGTGTGGGTGGTGGGTGAATGGATAGGTGGATGGATAGGTGGATGGGGGGGAAAAGGGGAGGGGGTGTGAATGGATGGGTGGGCAGGCATGAGGGGTGCATCAGCAGGAATGGCAGCAGCGATGGCAGCAGCAGGCAGGAATGGCAGGAGTGGCAGGAGTGGCAGGAATGGCAGGAGTGGCAGCAAGCAGCAGCACCACGCAGGCAGAGGCTACAGCGCTTGCGACGAAATTCAGAGACGTTTTGCTTGGCGTGCATGGTCAGCCCGTGCGGAGACGACGGGGGTGGGCGAGGACCCTGCCATGCTGAGGGGACATGGGTCAGCCGTAGCGGTAGCCTCGACTGCCTGCCTGCCCGCCTGCCTGTCTGCCATCCATGATGAGGGTGCGTGTGCCTGAGCGCGCGACTTAAGTATATGCCCCATCCACATCCATCCCTCCCATCCTCCCGCTGCTCCACACACACTCGCACTATCCATCTCATGACTCCCGCCCGCCCCAGCGCTTCATAACCTGCTGCCTGCCCTCTCTCTGCCTTGCTTGATGCTCATCTGTCCATCCTCTACTTGCATACATTACCCACCTCGCCTCCATCCACCTCCCTCTACTGCTGCTCACCTCCACTGCTCACCTCCACCGCGACCCATTGTCACGACGACGCACCAATGGCTTCCCAAATGGAGTGCTTCAACGACTTTTGTCTGTCCTGCGACCGCCAGATTGCCGAAAACGGCGTCTACTGCTCACAATCATGCCGCCTGGCCGACCTGGAGCGAGCCGGCTCCACGCAACAGGCGCCCTCGCAACTCTCGTCATCGGCCTCGTCATCGTCGTCATGCAACAGCGGCTTCTACCTCGCCCCCGCAATCAACTTCTCGGCCTACAAGGCCTCGTCGCACCCACAGGCTGCCGCCCCCTCGAGCCCCTACCACTACTACCCCACGGCCAACGGCAACTACTTTGCGCCCCCCTCGGCCACCAGGCAGTCCCCGCACCGCAGCCTGACTCCCTCTTCATCACGATCGTCACTCGCCTCGGCCTCTTCGCGGACCCAGTCGGGCATCTCGCAGCAAGCCGCCACGCAGCTCAACAGCTACATGCGCTCGTTTGACCAGACGCGAGACGTCAAGAGGCGGTACACGCAGTACTAAAGCCAAGTGCTCTTGTTGCTCGATTCAGGCGTTTGGTTTCACGACATTTACGAAAGACGGGGGGGGGGGCGACGACGAGTCATCTCGCCTCACCCACGCCCGCTTTTGCGCGCACGCGTGCACAGGCACACACGCCATCTTTGGGCTCTCATTGTCCGTCATGTTCAAGTTTTGCATTTGGTCCCGAGGCCGGCGACGGCTGGGACGGGCATGGCATCACGGAGTTCACCTGCATATCCACCACCGCGGCTCTGCCTTCTTCTTGTGTGTACTATTTCCTTTGTCAAGATGGGTGGACGCGGTGTACGATCAAAAGTATTTATATATATATATCCTCGTCGGTTTTCTTTTTGTTGATTGTTCTGCGAGTAGTTTGCAAGGGGGTGGGGGTTTCTTTGGTGCATGAGCAAGCCCCGGCGAAGGGCTTTGGGTGTTTAGGGCCGGCTGGATATCCCATTTGCGAGCGCAGGCCACCAAGGGTCGTGGCAGCTTTTTCTCTCCTCACCTAGCGTAGTAGTCATGATAGTAGTGTAGCAGTGCAGAAGCGGCAAGCTTCTCGAATCCAAGCAAGGACCAAGGCTGGTCTGACGTTGACACTTGTTACTCACTTAGTCATTGCCTCTGCAAGATGCAAGCAAGCAAGCCCCCCCCCCTCGCGTGCACGTGACGAGGCTGTCCTTATTGCGTGCACGTGGCGGATTAGAGTTTGTGGGCGGCGCATTTGGACTTGGACTTGGACTGGAGAACGATGGTGAGCATTGCCGTCACAGTCACAGTCACAGTCACGGCGGCATGGGGGTGGCCAGGAAGAAATTTTCGCGGCCATGGCGACGGCGAGGCTTGGGTGGCAAAGGCCGGGCAGGCACATGGGGGGGATGTTGTTGAGGGGATTCCCAACGAGCAGGACACACACATACACACACACACATGTGCATGTGCATGCCGTCTGGAGGGTGCCGCGTCCCCTGCCCTGGGAAGGATTTTTTCGGGGGCGTGGTTAGAGGGGGGCGAGGCGATAGGCGTCGAGGCAGCGGGTATTGGCTCAATCACGGGCGGCCTCGCGTGTCCCGGGGCTGTGATTGGCCGGGTTCCGGGCAGCGCTGCATCGTGTGGGGCGCAGCGCTGGGTCGGGGCTTGGCTTCTCCGCACTTTGGTGAACGGCCCGTCCATCGTCATGGGCTGCCGTGACAGGGTGCCATACCACCACCATGCATACTATACACCTATTCTTGCCCATTGCCATTGCGGCTACCACTGCTGTCGTCTGCCCACGCCTGCTATTACCATTGTGATTGCCTTCTTGTCCTGCACCTGTGTCCCCCTCGCGCCTGCGTCATGCCGCGCATGCTCCATCGTCATCCGCACCACCCGCTCCACCACACACCATACACCCACGCCGCGCCGCACCACACCACTCGACTCGACGCTTCACCTCAGCACACCACTCCACACCACTCGGATTCCATCCTCTCTCCATCTCCCCCCACCTCCTCCCATCTCCTCCACCGTCGCCTCTCTTTGCATCTCAATTTCCCGCCGCTGCTAGGCCCGCAATGCCTTTGTCCGGTCCCCTCAATCCGCAATGCCAGCGCAGCAGGCTCCACCCGGCAAGCGAGCCCCGGAAATGATACTGCATCGTCCGGTCCCGGCGGCCGTGAGCGCTCGCCCAAGGGCTCCACCCCATCTACTCGCGCTACCACGACCACGACCACGACCACGACCACTACTGCTACCAAATGCCTAAGCGACTCGCGTCGCCTTGCACTCCAACTTCCCACTTGCACTGGCAATGTCGGTCAACCGCTCGCTCGTGTGACGTGGGGCTAGTCGCACTGCGTCCAAGTCCAGCTTGGCCTCTGCATCTTCGCTTGCTTGCCGCACGCCCTGGGTCATGAACGCTTCCGAGATCCGACGGCGGGCACTTCCACCATGCACCATCTACAAACACCCAGCATGCATCCAGCATCCAACACGCTTATCATCCAACAGACCCTCTTTCGCATGCAAGCATCCTGCTGCCGCAGCTGCCCTTATCGCCCAAGCATGTCGTGTTTTGCTAGCAGCTCCACGCTGCCGCTCGCGTGTGCAGGGCTAGACTGCTGGCTCGGGTCCCGGCCCAGCCAGAGCCATTTCGCGACGGTCCGGAGAAGGCTACCAAGTCCCCGACGGTAAACCCGACTCACACAGGTCGTGTTGAGCCTCCTCCACCCTCTCAGGAGCCCAAGTGCGCTACCAAGCCCCGACATACGCACACACACACACACACACACACGCACAAAAAAACAAATGCTCTGCTTCAGCTCCCGCCTACATGCCTCCCTGAGCCCGTCCCCTCGCCATTTCCGGCTGCCGCTTCGGAGAACAAGCCATGCCGCCCACAATGTCTACCGACCATCGTCTCACCCGCGTCCACACACACACACACACACACACTTGCATTGCCCGCCATTGATTGACTCGACAAATGCCTCTGCTGGCCCAAGGCACCTGCGCGTCGCGGCCTCCGATGCGGCCGTACCTGAGTCGCGCTGATCTCCCACAAACACGTGGATGCCAATTGCCTTGGCTCCATGACCCATTCGACTCTCCCACTTTGAGCGCGCCTACGTGTAGCCGCAGCCCAGCGTGCAGCCGCCAACATAGACGCGCCTGCTCTCGCTCCCACACGCGCATCAACACGTCGTCGTTCATGACTTGCCTCAAACCACGCCCTTCCCTCACCACCGGCGTTCCATGCAAGGAACAAAGCCTCTCGGAACGGCAAATGCGCGCCATGTGTCAAGCGTCATGATTATTGACAATGCCACGGAGCAAAGTCCTGCCTAGCCTATCGAGTCTCTTCGCTTATCGCGCTGCCCTTTGATCAGCAAACTCTGTCGTTTCAGACGCACATACACAGTTCGCGCCCATCGTCAATCACACACACTCTCTGATTCCGGATAAACTGGCGCTTGGACTGACTGCCGCGCCACAAAGTTACACCAACTGCCGTCTACGTCCCAGGTGTGCGAGTACAGACGTCTGACTCGCCATGAGCAATCACATAAGCGCATGATTGCATCACGAGTAGAGAGCACTCAAACACTAGCTGGCCAATACTTGGTCTCCCTGACTCACTCGCTCTGCCAATAGCTGTGGCTCCATGTAGCCTTGCTGCAGGTCGACACGGCACGCGCCGTCCACGATCAGATCGCCAGATCTCTCGATCGCTACATGTCGTTCCATGCAAATCTCTGCTTCCGACACATGGAGCTGCCAAGTCATGTGTGCCGCCTTGCCTTTTCCATCTGCACTTTGCAAAAGGGAAACATGCACACCCTCAGTGCCGTCATACATTGTTGGACAGCAGCCACCCGGACCAAACCACCGACACGGCCGTTATTCCCGTGCAAACGTGTACGACGCGCGCAAACAGGTTGCACACGTGCACGACTGTCATCACCATTACAACCTCACATCCCCCCCTTGTGTTCTAGACAAGACGCCATCGCACTCAGCTCCGTTTCTGTACTCTTAGGGCTGAAAGGCCGAGCCCCATCCACGAACAGGCTTTGGCCCAACTAGCCAACTAGCCCAGTTAGCCACACGGCGGCAAAGGCACTTGCACTTGCGCCCACAACGAATCGTCATTCTCCGAAATGCCACCGTTAGAGCCCCCCCCCAACCCCATCCATGTCCTTGGGTTGCCCTACGAATGCCCTGGCGTGTGACGCGGCAAAGGGAAAATAATCTACTTATTACATACATTTACTCGATGCAGTAACAACGCCACTTCCTTGTTACATTTTGGATATGGCCGATTCCACACTGTGCTAAAGAGTGATGCTGACGGACCGTTGGGCAGCAAAAAGAAAAAAAAACCTCACTGGACAAGCAAGGTTTATTTATTTTTTCTCTCTCTCATTGTTGTCAATGACTGCGTGTCGTGTGGATTCTTACGTTGCATGACACCGGAATCCTGCATATCCAATCAATTCATCCGTCAGCAATTTATTTTCATTTTTTTTTCTTCTCCCAAAGATGCGTTGTTTGGATGATGTTGGTGTTGTTTGCTCGTATGTATGCGGGCGAAGTGGGGTGGCGTGGGCTATCCACTTGCTTCCTTCCCTTGATCCTTCCATGCGTCCATTTAATTCCCCATTAATACCCGACACCTACCGATCCACATACACACACACACACACACACACATATACCTAGCGCACATAGATACCGACAGGCGTACCGATGTACGCCAAATGCTTGTCTCGTCTTGCTGCCCGATCAATCAACCAGCAACCAGCAACTCTGACTACGTAGCTAGTTAGCTAAGCTAGCCACCCAACAAGCCAAACAAACCAAACAACTAACGGACCAACTAAGAAACAACCAACCAATTACAATCTCTACCACTTGGTCACCAACCACCACCACCACTACTACTACTACACCCATCATGTGAATACCACAATCTCAATCGGTCCATTCCATTACATCCCAAGTCATGGGTCACATTCTGCTTTGTAGCCCCGCGCATTCAGCGGCAATCGCGAAACAGTCTTCGATACATGGGCCTTTTCTTGCCTCTTTGGACCTTTTGTGCCGTGTCGCGTCGTATCCCCGAGCAAGACATGCATGTCGATATCCATGGCGGACATGGCGACTGGGATGGTGACATGGGTGGGGGGTGAGGTAGGGGTATGGATGGGTATGAATGTGCATGTGGGTAAGCAGTAAGTAGAGGGGGGTTGCATGCACATGTATGTGGCAAAGTACGTAGAATGCGTAGGTAGAGGCGTGGGTGTGAGTGTGAGTGTGAGTGTGAGTGGGGGTAGCGTGGGCGGGTAAGTATACTAGGTTGTATGTAGATTGATGGGTTACGTGGAGATGCAGGTGGATAAGTGTGAGTGCTACGCGGCAATGACGACATTTATCCCGAGTGTTTTCTGGTGGTGGTGGGGGGGGGGGTTTTTTCTTCTTAGCTGTATATACTTGAAGCTATGTGGAGACGGGAGTGATACATTCTGGTATTAGTCAGGGTAAGAGGAAAAGTGAGGAGAGAAATAATGAGAGTGGGTCTATGGGACTATGGGCTATGGATATGGATATGGCCAAGTATGTGTGCCGCGGTAAGCGCGGGGGGGGGGGAAGAAAAATTAACATACCTTCATACTCGGCATTCTCGTACTCATCCTCATCCTCATCCTCATCATCATTATCCAAAGCCTTAGTATCATGCTGATTTCCCCTGTTTATGAATATTCTAGATAGGTATGTATGTACGTTGAAGAATTTTCTCTCTTTCTCTCTTTCTCTCTCTCTCTCTCTTTCTCTTCTCTCTCTTTCTCTCTCTTTCTCTCTCTCTTAATAAATTTTTTTTCCCAAGAAAAGTTTAAAAAAAAATATCCAAGAGACCAAGTACGTCTGTCTAACGTGCACATTTTAGCCTTTAATTCTTGAAAATTAGAACTTGAAACTTGAAACTTGAACCTGGCAGACTTTAGTCATCTTTGCATACACATGTATACACATGTATATGTATATACCTCTATACATCCAAGTCCAAGTAAAAGTCCAAGTCCAAGTAGTAGAAAATAAATCTAATACTAACATTTTTCCCCTAACTTTTTGCATTTGCGTGTGTGTGTGTGTGTGTGTAGCCTTCTTGCTGCGTTTGTCTTTTGCATGAAAAAAGCGCATGCTGTGTTTTAAATTGCATGTATGTATGTATGTATACAGTGGAATACATATAGCTATACGAATTAGATTGGGTTTACACTGGGATGATAGTGTGGTGCATCATGTATATATTGGAGGGAAGGGAATGAGTTGGTGGGTGAGTAGGTAGATAGGTAGGCAAGTAAATAAGTAAGTAAGTAAGTAAGTAAGTAAGTAAGTAAGTAAGGGAAAAGAATACGGAAAAACGAGCAAGTGATTGAAAAGCATACATATGTAAGAACTAGAGCTACCGAGTTCCTCTATACAACTGGACATGAGAAAAAACAAGCCAGGAAAAGTTGGTTGGACGAAGTACATTACATACATGATTTTACACGCCAGACTTGAAGAAAAACAAGAAGAGAAATGCAGGGGAGCAAGCAGTCTAATCTGAATTCTCATGTCGAGTAATAAAGAAGGTGTAGAAAGTGGCGCTTTTTTTTGTGTTGCTAGCATGGCATGGCATGGCGTGACTTGGGGAATTTGAGATGATGGTGTGCTATAATATGTTCTGGTATGTTGCTAGTTGAAACAGTGAAAGTGCTGGATTCGTGTCATTTTCTCCTTATCGCACTACCATGCTAGTGGTACATAGCATTAGTATGAGTATTGCGCGTTGCTATCAAACACATAGTACATTGTAGGTAAACATATGACGGATAGAGAACACGGGGACGAAAGAGTCTAGATAGATAGCCAAAGCCACGATATACATAGTAACAAGTGCACGTACACATACACACACACACACACACACACAAACAAGAGGTCGACATTCCAGCCAAATAATACAATACAATACACGCAATACACAAAACTAATCAAAACAGAGCAAGAAAGAAGAAGAAAAAGAAAGAACCGAATCCCCTCTCGAGTCCCTCTTCCATGGGAAAAAAAAGACGAGAGTGTTGACTAAACTAAACAAACGAACAAACAAATAACTAACGATGGGCAAAAAAGGCGGCTTGGAAACAAAGACCCCTGGCTAAAACGCCAATGTAGCAAGGAAGATGGAGAAGAGGAAGAAGAAGAAAAACAGAGAGAAGCTGAAAAATATAAATACAAAAAAAGGGGTTCCATCCAAACTTGCACAAGATTCTTCGAATACCAAGATGGTCAAATGACACAAAAAAAGCCGAGACAACAACGATTTAAGCACCCAACTATGCAGCACTACCCATCATCTTCCGCCGCTGCTTCTCCGCCCACTCTCGACTCGCAATACGCCCTCGCTCGGCAGCTTCTGCGCGCGCCCTCTTGGCCGCCTCTTCCTTTTCTCTTCTCTCGCGCTCGCGAGCCTCCTTTTCTATGCGGTCGCGGTTAAATACTTCCTTGCCCTTGAGCTTGAGCATTGCGGCGTCGGCAGGCGTGACAACGGCCTTGGGCACAATGATGCTGTTGCGGTTTCCCGATGAGGTGGATGTCGAGCGGGACTGAGAGGCTGCCTGTGAAAGCGACATGCTGCTGCGCTTGCTGGTGAGGGATGTCGAGCGTTGCTGGACGGGCTGGGGCTGGGGCTGGGGCGGCGGAGGGGGAGGCCCAATTGTGACTCCGGGAGACTGGCGGGTTGGGACGGTGGTGACTGGTTTACGGACGGGCGGTGCTTGTCGTGCCTTGAGAGTCGCCTCCTTCTTGGCTGCTTCGGCCTCTTGCATGCGCTTTAGACGCTCCTCCTTCTTGATTCTTAGCTTCTCAGCCACGGCTGATCCTGGCAGTTCAAAGTTGGCCTTGGTCGGCGCCTTGGTCGATTTTGCTAGGGGTGCCATGCTCATGCTGACGGGACGCTGGGTTGGTGCTGGCTGCTGAGACGCCTCGGTTTCTTTCTTTAGCCGCTCTTCTTTCTGTGCTTTGAGCTTCTCTGCAATCTTCTCGCCTGGCAGTTGAAAAGCGGGTTTCGTGAGTGGCTTGTTTGACTTTGGTGGAGGTGGCATGCTGATTGGGCGTGCCTTTGGTGCTGGGCATTCTGCTTCTCGTTTCAACCGCTCCTCTTTCTGCGCCTTGAGCTTGGCAACCACATCGTCGCTGGAAAGCTGAAAGGTTGACCTGGTAGGAGCGCGCCCTTTTGGTGGCGGTGCTGGAGTGAGAAACGACATGCTGACTGGTCGACGTTTTGAAGCAAGATAATCGACTGGCTCTGCCGGGGCTGGCCTGACTTCTCTGCTGGATGCAACACGAACACTAGATGTGCGCGCTACAGACGACTTCACCGGCTTCATGCTCTTGGGCGCTGCCGCGCTGGGGGCCCTCGATATCTTTGTAGCTGCAAGGGGAGCATCTCCAGTCGTCTTGGGGCGTGTGATTAGTGCAGCAATGCTCTGGGGAAATGCTGGGCTCTCGGGCGACTTCTCCTCATTCAATCGATCAAACCTGGCTACTGCGGTGACGTTCTCCAGCGCCTCCTCCAGCGCATCAATTGCTTCGAAAGACTCCTCGAGGCGCATGGGTGATTTTGACGTGCTACGCGATGCTCGTCGACTTGAGGTCTGGCTCGTGAGAGGGTTCATGATATCTTCAATGGACGTCTTGGTTACAAGGGTCTTTGGCTCTGTTCCCAAACTGATTTCGACTGAGGGTGTTGATGTTTGACGTGCAGCTGTGGGCGTTTGAGGTTGAGGCTCTTCCACCTGCGGGACCCTTGGTGCAGCTTCTTGCAATGTTTCACCCTCTGCCACAGCCTGGGTTACGGCCTCGTGTTGCGTCTCTTCAACTGCAGTCTCAGGCTCCACGGTAGCCTCCTGCACATTTTCACTTTGCGCTGCAGCCTCTCCAGATGCCTCTGGGGCTTCTTCTGCGGCTTTGGGCACATCTACTATCGGCTCGGCTCCCTCGGCTTCTGGCTGGGGAGCAGCGTGCTGTGCCTGTCTCATCTCCTCTTCTTGCATGGCCAATTGGCGGCGGGTTAGCCGTACCGGCTTGGATGACGGGGTTACAGGTCGTTGAACCTCTGCAGGGACCTCTGCGTCCCCTGAAGCGTCGGCCGACGAGTCGACACCAGGAGCAGACTCCTCCTGAGCCTGTGAGGTTTCTGGCTGCAATGTCTCATTTGGAGCGCCTGTGGGCTCTGAGGGAGCCTCGGGCGGCGTCTGCTCCTCCTCGGGTGTGGCGCCAGCCTGCTCACGCTCGTCGTCGTCGTCTTCGTCGGCCGCCTTTGCTTTTTTCCCTTTCTTCGCGCGGCCTTTTCCCTTGGCCTTCTTCGCAGGCGTCTTTGCGGGCGTCTTTGCCGGTGTTTTGGCGGGCAAGTCGTCGTCGTCCTGGACTTGGTCGGGCGAAACATTGGAGGTTATTTCGTTCAACGGCGCACGCTCGGTCGCGTCGGTGGCCTCGTCGGTGCCCTGCTGGGCGCGCGCACGAGTCACTCGCATCTTGACTGGCTGACTGCAACTAACGGCTGTGGTAAAGCTATGTCGAATTGACTATGCAGCAACGGAAGATCATCGAGTGGGATGCTTTTGGATGCTCGAGTGTTGATGCTGCTGCACAAGGGTGGAGCCGCCTCACAACAAACATCCCCGCCGAGTAAAGCGCGTCCGCACGCGCCAGCGGTTCCGCACGTGACCCGCACTGCTTCACCCGCCGCGCACCCGACTCGCGGCACCCCACGATTCATAATATTCGCCTCTATTGGGGCCGGGGCTCCAGCCGTGCATGCGACGCGTTTTGGGCGACGCTTGACTTTTTTTTTTTTTCCAATATTTCCTCGATACGGGAGACGGGCTGGCCCCTGGATGAATCGATAGAAATCGCCCTGCGGATCCCCCTGGGAGTCTCTCCTGGCCACGATCAAATTCCCCCATCTGGCTCGCCCGCTTCACTGAGCACTGTGCGAACAGGTCGCGTCTTACCGCATCCGGCACGTGGAAGCATTATCCCCCATCAGCGCCTCTCCAGCCCACGTCTCCGACGACCGGATGTTCGCAGCCCCGCGTCTGCGTCTGGTTGCCGTCAACAGCCGTCTTCAACCCCGCCCCAGCATGTCGTCACGCTTGCGGGCGCCCGCCCGCCTCACCCAGATCTCGCAGCATTTAGAAGCAAAGCCATTCCTGGAATTGAACACGCCCTTCTCCAGCGAACGCATCACCCGCCTCGAAGACGACCACGGCAGCCGCATACTGCCCAAGAAGATTGCAGAAGTAAGGGCCGACGTCAAGCAGGTCCAGAAGGAAGTCAGGGAGATCCGAGCTATCCAGGAGTCCCACGAGTCCAAGAACAAAGCTCCGGAACCGCCAGCCAAGATGTCGAGCCAAGCACCGCACCCTGCCCTGCTCATTCCCGGGCCCATTGAGTTTGACGATGCCGTCCTCAACTCCATGAGCCACTACAGGTACGACTGAGCGACATGTTGACGGTGTTTCGGTACTAAAGTGCATCCAGCGAATCACATGTCGGCCAGCCATTCGTAAACACCTTCAGCGAAGTCCTCGGCAACCTGCGCAAGCTTTTTGTGTCGACCGACCCGGCTGCCCAGCCCTTTGTCATCTCCGGCTCTGGCACCCTCGGATGGGACCAGGTCGCCGCCAACCTGGTGGAACCCGGCGACGAGGTGCTCGTTCTGCACACGGGCTACTTTGCCGACTCATTTGCCGACTGCTTCGAGACATATGGCGTCAAGGCAACACAGCTCAAGGCGCCCATTGGCGAGCGCCCGCAACTCGACGAGGTTGAGGCAGCATTGAGGGAGAAGGAATACAAGATCTTGACTGTCACGCACGTCGACACTTCGACTGGTGTCCTGAGTGAGATCAAGGCATTGAGCGAGCTCGTCCATAGGGTCAGCCCCGAGACATTGTTCGTAGTCGACGGTGTCTGCAGTGTTGGCTCTGAGGAGATCCGCTTTGACGAGTGGAAGCTTGATGCCGTCCTCACAGCTTCGCAGAAAGGCATTGGCTGCCCAGCTGGTTTGAGCATCATGATGGTGTCTGGCCGCGCAATTGAGAGGTTCCACGCAAGGAAGACACGGCCAACTTCCTACTTTGGCTCATGGAAGAACTGGTTGCCAAGTACGCAGCCATCATTGACCCTACTCCTAGCATTACGCTGACACGATCCTAGTCATGCAAAACTACGAAGCCAAGAAGCCATCCTACTTTGCAACTCCCTCGCCACAGCTCATCCACGCTCTCGACACTGCCCTCAAGCAGATTCTCTCCCGTCCTGTTGAAGACTACTGGGCTGCTCACAAGGCTGCCTCCCAAAAGGTGAAGCAGGCCGTTGCAGACCTAGGTCTCAAGCAACTTGCTTCCAAGCCCGAAAACCAGGCCAATGGCATGACCGCCATCTACCTTCCCGAGGGCATGACACCCCCACAAGTCCTCCCCAACCTTCTCAAGAAGGGCGTCGTCTTCGCCGGTGGTCTGCACAAGGAGATTGCAACCAAGTACATTCGATTCGGCCACATGGGCGTCAGCGTCACAGACCCGAAGCGCCCAGACATCACCAAGGCCATTGAGAGCCTGAAGGAGGGTCTATTCGAGGCCGGATACAAGGCCTAGAAAAAGTATGGTTTGATGAAATACTACAACAATATACAGAAAAGCAGATACCAGAATAGAAACGTAGACCCCTTACTACATTCGTGGCCATGGCTTGACGATAGCAACGATGACGGAGTTTTCGTGGCTATGTCGCGAATCCTTCGGACCTGCATCTGTACTTACACGTGCACAGTTCTCTATTCCCACCAACAGGAAACACTGAAAGAAAAAAGCCAGCCCGAGTCATGTGCCATGAAGCTCGGCCACTGTTAGATTATGTATGCAAGGCTAGTCCCGCCAAGCCAACGCCAGGCACAAACGGTTATCTGGCGGCCCTATGAGACGAAGTATCGCCGCTTGCCCGACTCAAGAGCATGAAGTCATGGAATCTTGGAAAAGCTGCAAAAGGATGCGCGCAAGTGGGTCCGACGAGGCTGTGTTCCTGGCTGTCGTTATCTTGCTTTCCCGTGGGGTGATGATTTATCCAGAGGAATAGGGACCTGTGGATACGAGGTGTGGAGTTGTTCGTCCGTGGTTGACTGATTTTTTTCCTATCTTCACTCAGAAGCATATACTCGACATTCGTTCTTTCCTTCCTCGCTGCGTCCGGCACATTCCCGCAGTTGACTCGGCGCAGTCTTGCGGGGGGAACTTTTCTCTCTCATTTACTCAGTACAAGCGAGGGATAGCGCCAGCATTCGTAGAATAGGTGTAGCAAACAGACATCACAGCCAGCTCTCCCAAAGACCAAGGCGGATATCAGAGCAAGCAGCACACAATGACATCCACATCACGCAGTCTCCAGCACACATGGGACCCAACATGGGCGACAGCCCCGCCCGCCTCGTGCTCGACGCTGCGCAATCTCCACGGCCAAGTCGCGTGGGGCGAAACCTGTGTCTTTGCACCTGAAGACGAGGCGTCCGTCACCCCCTTCAGCATAAACACGGCGTGCATGCCATGGATCACGTCGCAGTCTTACCCCTCTCCCTCTGTCTTCTACTCCCCCGCCACCGCTTGCCCAGACGCCTGGACAGCCGTGGCCACGCAAGGCGCTGGCAACCAGTGGCTCGAGGGCGAAATCGGCCTGCAGTGTTGTCCACCGGGGTTCCAGGCTGACGGCGCAATGGCATGTAGGCCTGGTAGCACCGGTAAATGGCCCGTCGTACAGTGCGGCGAGGCCGACGAGGAGGAGAACGAAATCACGACGTACGATGCGACACGGTGGCCTGCGAACGCGAAGGTCTCTGTACCCGCGCTCATGCTAAGGTACCGCGCGAGTGAAGCAGGAAGCAGTGCCAACGGGGGCTTGTCTACGGGTGCCATAGCAGCGATTGCCACCGTGATCCCACTTGTCGTTATCCTCGGCGCCATATCCGCATTCCTGCTCTGGCGCCGCAACAAAAACCGCAATGCTGCGCATCTAGCAGCCCTCAATCCGGGCAGCGAGAAAGCAGGACGACCCTCTGACTCCATGGATACCAGTCCAGCAGACACACTTGTTATCCCCAAGGGCACGGCCGCAGCACACGTTTCAGCGGCGCCATCGCCGCAGTCCAATCTCCATGAAACCCCGGAGTGGAATGTCGAAATGGATGCGACAGAGACTGAGCGCCGGGCTCGAATCGCTTCTCCAGAACCCCAGGTACCTGTGGCTGCTGCCGACACGGCGAGGAACGCGCCAGAGGTGGTCAGCGTGCCGAGAGTGCCTAGGAAACCTATTGCGCGCGTGGAACTCGACGGCACGCCTATACTACCGGAGATTGGCGATGCGTATATCCCGTATCGGCCTGGTGCGGAGGCGAGGTGATGTGGTTACATATGTGTATAGCAGCGTGATACCCGTATATAATGCTTTACTCCTTGTTGTTGCTAATGGATTTGCTGATCGTGTCGGCGTGGAGTGTGTTGTTTGCTTTTTTTCTCCGCTCATGTATTAGGTTGAGCGTAGTGTGCGGATGCATCAGTTTGTCCAACGGGTCGGGTCGTATGAATGGCGTTGTACGGGAGTGCTTCTAGTCGCGTATGGGAGTGCTTCTAGCGTACTACGGTCCGTAGTCATGCGTCTGGGACGTACTAAGTACGGGCCGTAACTACGGTTACGCTAAGAGAGACGGCGTACTTTACGCGTAGTGTGGCTACGGGACCCAAGTGCGGTTCGTAGCGTACTCGGAATACCCTGAAACCCTGATCGTAGCCGCCACGGTACGTCCTTTTGGTTGTGCTAAACTGTATCTAGGCTTCCGGTTTCTCGGTCGCGCGATACCCTGTCATGTTGACTTTTCTTTTGTTGCAGTATATGCATGTAGTCTCTAGCTAAAGAGGTTAGAGAATCAGCACCTTTTTTCCTTTTCGATGTCTTTTTCCAATGGCTCGTATCGACAGCAATGAAATTCATGTATACCATTTGAAATGTGTGCAAGATTGACATGATGTCCAACAATATCTAGTATCGTGTTAGCACGGGTGAATTGGTACCGAAGCCGTAGTTGTGAGTGTCTGGAATCGATATTGTTTCGTTTCAACAGCTACGGACGTAAATACATTGTACTCTGGCCTTCAAATGGAAATCGGATTTGTAAAATACTAGAGATATCGTCACTGTAGTTTCAATACGTGGCGTTGGATGCGCTGGCACTGTTGCCTCGTGTGTCAAAGATGATATCGTCACGAGACCATAGCTGCACAACTACCAACACACTGAATTACATCACGCTGATACAGTAAGTGTAAGGGTCATTACATCACGTTGGGAAAGGTGTCTTGTTCAGCACTGACAACGGGTTCGTCACGGTTTTTGCAAATTTCAAATTAGGATGAAAAACAAAAGATCTGTTAACCGGTTCCAGGTGGAACGCAAAAAGCATTCTGAGCTTCACTAATCCAATAAAGGAGGGGGTCTGGGAGAAGTTGTGCTGTGCTCTGGACGAGCCAACACTTACCTGCTCTTACTGACTACCAATGCTTTTTTGCTTTGATCAGCCCACATTGTTCTGCCTCGCTTCGTCCAAGTACCGCATCGTAGCAAGGGTTCTCCGTTGCTGTAACCCAGAACCGAGTGGTTTGTATGCGCTTATTATTCCTTTCAAAGCACCATGTAAGATCGACGTATCCTAGTATCTTTTCGTCGCAGCCGTGTGTGTGTATGCATTGCTCTATCTTCTCGTCGATCGGATGCACTGGTATTTGCAGCACTTGTCTGACCAGATGGCGCGATATGATGTTGTACTCTAGACGGGGATCGCATGTAAGTATAGCTAAATCCCATGTTTCGACGTTATGGTCGTCTCGAGAGAATATTTCGATCTGCGTTGGCTGTTGCAATCGTCGTTGTCGTCGTCGCTGGATTGTGTCAATGGTGGCTGATGATGAAATAAGGTAACTTACGGTGAACGAGAATTTACCACAGATTCCGCAGTTGAATACAAGCATATTATGTCAGTTCAAGTGAGTGTACATGCAATAGAGCACTGGATTGATGGCGGTGATGTTATGTCGGCATGCTGGGAGACGTGAAATATCCAGACGGAGGCTTACTCATTTAACAGCTTGAGAGAGATAGAGATTACCTAACAATCATCTGTTCATTCCAGAATCACTCGCGCTTGCAGGCCTGTCAGACCATGCCACGCCCAATAGCCTTGTGTGCAGCACCCATCCAAGTTGTTTCCACAGGACAACCGAAATGCAGCCTGAGGAGCCAATTATTGTCGAGGCCTAACTCCATTGCCTGAAAGAAGGCAAACGTCATCTGATATCAGGTGTCACAAGGCTGAGGGCGATGTGGTGTGCTTTCACCGATCATTCACAACCTCGCAAGGCTTAGCTACGTCAGCCTGAATCATGTGTAAGATTGTTGCCTACTGAGAAAGACCTTCTGCCTGCAAATAGGCAGAGCAGATTATACAAAGGCAAAGGGCGATAAATGTATGACAATGCTGAGAACGCGCAAGGTGGAATGGCTGTGGGTGGGGGTACAGTCACCAACGCCGAGACATGTATCACAGCTGACGCTATATAGCCACCCAATGACACTTCCACATATATATGAGATCACACCACGGCACAGCCATTTCCAAAAGCATCTCACCGGTGCTTAGCACTGCTGATCATTCCGAGACAACGTGGAAACTCGTGCCTTCGCCCGCTGATAGGCGTCGTCATCGCAAGAAAGCCTTAGCAGCGCTCAGGCAGAGAACGCCCATCATATCCAGCCTATTTGTATATAAAATTTTGACATGGTGAGTAAAATCAGCCGTACTTGCTACAAGTAAGGCTGAGCTTCCGGTAAAATGTGCTAATGACCTCGTCAGAGGGATTTTCAGCCTGATGCACGAGGCAGCCACCTGCGGCTTCATTCTGACCTACACAACATGTACATGCAGATGTTAGTTGTCGTGCAGGGCACACTGTATTACCTGCAGAGTGCGATTTCTTTTGCAGGCCGACATGCTGTATGTGAGATATATGGACATCATGGCGGATCTAGCTTGCCATCGGAAAGACGCCAATATCTCTTGAACAACTAAAGAAACATGCTTCATCCGCAAGATACGCTACAGCAATATGTTATCGGGTATCCGAAGCTGGCCGCGAAAATGGAGATTCTGCCCGAAGTCGCCATATTCCGCAGGTTTGGCGCTCTGAATGCCCAGAATCTTCTGTACATGCAGGCTGAGTTGGTGTATCTGAAGAAGGAGCTGAGAAGATGCCAATTGGAGGATCACTGCAATCCTTCGGAGAAACGGTCGAAATACGCGCTGGACTGGCGGTGGCTCAAAGTGTCAGAGGGCACTGAGGCCGGCGAGCAGCAAGCATTGATCTTGAGAATCCGGGACTTGCTCAAAGAGTACAGTATGTAGAGCCATAATCAGAAGACAAAAAAAATCAAATTCTCATGCTCATATCAGCTAGATGATGCATTGATCCAGCAAGCAGAGATTCTCAAGTACCCTAAACCTGGTACGTGGGACCTTCATCACATGCAAGACTATCTTCATTCCCCAGAAATGGGCGAGGACGCGTTGAACGGCGACGATGCAAGCGTCTGGGGCTCTGCGTGCTACCGCAAATCTCAAAGCCCAGATTTGATTACTCTATGCCCTCGTGCGAAGAAAGATGCCTTCTCGTCATGGGCAGCAGAAAGCACCATTGGCATGCTCTTCAGATGTGGCTGCACTCGGCTCATGAAGCCCTCGCGAGTTCATGGTGTCGTTGGGTACGAGGATAGTACGGTTTATCGCGTCACGTATTGGATTACCAGTATCCTCGCGTCTCTTATCCCGATAGCATCCATCGCAGTGCTGTACCGAGTTCATTCCATGTCCGCTCGACTTGGAATCATTGCTGGCTTCAACGTCCTGGTATCCGTATGCTTGATGGCACTGGCCAATGCGAAACGCGCCGAAGTGTTTGCCATTACAGCCGCGTAAGTACATTCACAGGTCAGAGTCCTGACAATCCAAGTCTAACCAGATCCTAGTTTTGCCGCTATACAGGTTGTTTTCGTCGGGTCTGATCGTGTTGCAGACGGCTAGAGTTCTTTTAGTGGCTTGTTGTGCAGGTCCAGGGGGGTATCAGCAAGCGGAGAAGTGAAGATAGATTCGTAAATGTACCTGATATATCGTGGCCGCTGTGCAACCCGGCCAGTCGCTCCACTCCTCCTCTTGACTTGAAATATAATGCAAGAAAACTTGAACGCTGATTATAAACGCCGCAATAACCATGCTATCAAGGATATTATTATTAAAAAAACGGTGGGGTAACATGTTGCCCAGGCAAAGGTTGCGTGACGCATGTTTGCGCCACGGACTTTGAAGTGGGGGGTTGTCCTTCAGCGCTCCGCTGGCAATTTAAATTGCGCTCGCCTCACGCCAAGTATGAAAGCAAATGGACGCTTGCATCTCTCCCCGATCGTTGGTTCTGCTCTGCTGCAGCGGATATGTCGCCTTTCACATTGGACCATGCTCAAGGGATAAACGTTTGGCCGTAGCCTGGTATCTTTGATCCACAAATTGTGTCCACGGTTCGACAACAGTGTACATAGCTAAGAGGATGGGGGCTTAGCAGCTTTCTTCTTTCGCTTCTTGGGAGGTCAGTATATGCTTTCCTGGTCCAGTTGAGAAGCCACGTACCTGTTCTTCTTCGTACTTCTTCAGCTCTTCTTGTTCTTTCTTTCTTCTCTCCTCAACCGCTTGCTGCTTCTTGATGAGAGTACTAGCTGCTGTGCAAATGTCAATAATCAGACGTTTACTACCAAGGAGATAAGCTTACAGTCGACACGGACTGGAACGGTCCGGAACGCACCGAGGTAATGGCGGTTCACAACCAGTATGCCGCACTCATTGATGGTCTGGCGTCCGATTATGATATCAAACGTCGACAGCTCGACAACCTTGAAAGTAGAAATCTCAAAGCGCGGTCGGAAGTTAAGAGCCCCCCTTTTGGCTTCCGTAGCGCGCCATCTTCCATCGATCTCGCCCAAACACACGATTCTTGTTTCATCCATCTGAAGTATGTTTGCGTCGTCTGGAGACTGCTTCCATTGTACACCGATGACCCTGAGAAACTGTGCACTGACCAAGTTGTATTCGGACTGAGTATCGACCAAGGCAACTCCAAGATGAAACCCTGACCAAGGCGAGCCATCTCCATCTCTGATGGCGATGTTGACCTCCCTCTGGTAATCTTCATCCTTATGGGGTGGCGTCAAGATTCGCGTGAAACCGAAGCGAGTTCGAGTGTCATCGGATGGAGAACTTGTAGACGGAAGCTGATGTTTCCAAAAGTTTTTGCAATTCTTGTACCGAGCGCATAGGCGCTTACGCCATTTTTGTTTGTCCATTGTCGTGGGTTGAGCTGTGAAGCTCGAGAGGTAGATGAGGTTACGATCAAGCCCAGTCAAGGGAGAGAAGAAGAATGCTGTCTGGTTGAGCGGGGCGAAGTATCGTAACGCATCGTCATGCGGCTGAAGTGAGGAAAAGGTCTGGGATCCAGTCGATGCAGGCTTAGCAGAAGGACCAAACAGGGGGTTGCGTAGTCGTCAAGGCTGACCAGATTTTACTCAACAGATGCATATTCTGTAAGGTGCTGCGCCACATGGTTCGCTGTAAACTGATCTCGATGTCACATTGGGGGTTGAAGACAACCTTTTGCACAGCTACGCTATGGCAGAAGCCCGCAGACGCTAGCTGCAGGATGCCCGAAGCAAAGCCACTGCATATGCAAAGAAGGGGCCATCTTTCCACCAGGATTAGGTGTAGGCTGACACAGTCCGATTCCAATCAACGTACCCAGGCGTACCGGTGCACAGCCACCTACATCCACAAGGCAAAGAGGTCAGCAATGACGGATTATGGGTGTAGAGCCGCTCGAACTATTCTCCTATCCCCCCCCACCCCCTCAGTTCTCAACATAAAAACCATTTCAACGTATCAAATCCACATGGAGTCACTGGTGCCATTAGCGAAAACCCGAGGCTCTGCTCGTCTGATAATGGTGGAGAGCAAGGGCTGTATAGAGCCACATGTTGTTGTCATATTATGCAAGTGTGGTTTGGACACTATACAAGGGAGAGTTCTGGTGTGTGTGTGTGTGTGTTTTTTTCAGCCTTGTGAGCAGTGTACGTCATTCCCAGCACACCTCGGTCATAACCACCTCGTGATTGCATTCTGGATCCCATTTGGAGCCTGACTCGAAGTTGGTGTTTTCTCTAATCTCCCTTAGATAGCAGACCCCTTCATCTGCTCTTGCTTTACCCATTCCTAGTAGTCATTCAGTCATCGTCATAGCCATACTCGATAATCTTTGACAAGAAATAAGTTCAAGTTCTTAGATGATAAAGTGGGATTAAGAACGAGCTTGCAGTGAAATTGACATACCAGATACTAGCTATGCTTCAAAGAGACTTTTTCCCTTTACAAACCTCACTGTATATATAAATGATCACGTGTATAGTATACCTCTCTCCTCGATATGATCCGCAGAGGCAATTACAAAGACAACGTAAACTGTAACGTAGTGCCTCAGAAGCGCTCAATCACAATTCGAACTCAAGGACAGGAAATATGCAAAACACAAGACAAGAGTAACTAAACAACCACGTTTTCTCTCACTCATACTGGATTTGTAACACGACTCAATTTTTTTCATATTAGCCAAAACAAGAAAAAAAAAAGGAAACTCTTCCAGCGATTACCGTCAAACATCAACAGAGAATACAGGCAGAGAGGCAGGCAGAGAGGCAGGCAGGCAAACGTAAACCGCAGACGAGTATGTTTTGGGTGGGAAAAAAAGGAGGCTTTCTCTCTCTCTATCAAGCAGCAGTGCTATCCACCTTGGCGGCGGTATCAGCAACCTCACCTGCCGTGTCGGCCATTTCCTTGTCCTCTTTCTGGTCCTTGTCGTCTGCGTCCTTATTGCTTGGGGCCGCGTCCTTGGTGTCGACCAGCTTCTTGACGACTTCGACGGTAGCAGCGGGACCACCGGGCTCAGCTGCCAAGACCTTGCCGTCCTTGTTGACGACAAAGACGCCCCGGGTGGTGCCCTTGGGCGCCTTCTTGAAGCCAATGGCGGAGATGAGGGTTTGGGCGGGGTCGCAGAGCAATGTGTAGGGCAGCTTCTGCTTGGTCTTGAAGGTCGTGTTGGCCTTGGGGCTGTCGGACGAAAGACCATAGATGGAGAAGCCGGTAGCAGTGAGGGGCGTGTACGAGTCGCGGAAGAGACACACTTGTGTTGTGCCTGGAGGTTTTTTTCTCTCGCGTTAGTCGGCTGCCATGTGGACGCGATAAGGGCGACGCGACTTACATCCAGGGGTCGAGGCCTTGGGGTACGTGAACAGCACCACGCCGCCCTTGCTCTCCTCTACAAGCTTCGCAAGCGTCGTCTTGTCGCCATCGTTGGTCTCGATGTCTCCGCCAAAGGAAGCCAGGTCAATTGTGTCGCCGACCTTGGGCTTACCGCTAGGCGCAGCCGTCGAGGCGCCGTTGGTCTTGCCAACAACAGCCTCCTTGACGGCCTCGACCTTGTCGGCGACGGCGTCCTGGACCTTTTCGGCCACGGTTTTGTCGCTCTCGGCCTTTTTGGCCTTTGCGGGGGCCTTCTTCTTTGCTGGAGGAGCGGGCGCGGGGGGCGCCGCCTTGCGCTTCCGAAGCTCGACAGGCATGGCGGGAGGGTGTCAAGGGCTGGAGTCGCGGTCGCGTCAGTGTCGCGAGGCAGTATCACGCTCGGCCAGGGGAGAGTTGGGCAGTGGGAAGCTCGGGGTTGGGCGCCCGTGAAGCAAGGTAGGACAGTGGGTGGAATCGAGGCAGAACGGACTAGCAGCCTGTAGTACCACCGTCGCAAGAGCAGGAATCGCACAATTTGCCGTCAGCCGTCGCCGGTAACAAGCAGTTAGCAGTGCGATAAGAGCTAATCAACAGGGTAACGAGGAGATGTGGCCCATGGTGATCTGACCCCCGAGGCCAGGTCGTCCAGCCTCCTCACTTGGCATTCTCGTCCCTATTGACATTAGCCAGATTACATGAGCCTGCGTCTGTTCGTCGGAAAGCGCTTGTTCTGGACAGCACTGGGGTAGCCAGCGCCATATTATTGGCTCGTGAAGTGAGGAGTCGAGAGGTGCGCGCCGATGCACTGCAACGCAAGAAGCATGTCCCCGGTCGCGTCATAGCTCCGTTCCCGCCCTGTACCGATTCAGCCCACCCATGCCAGCCCGCCCACAGAAGACTGCAGTGCATTGCTTCGACATGGCTAACCACTACATACACAGCGTGCCACCTGTGGCAAGCTCTTGCGTATTTGCGTTTCAGAAGCATCCCTTGGCCAGAACCCGGAGGCACGAACATGGCGCCCCCCCTCCTCCAACAACCAAGACCCAGCATCCATCCCAGCCGCCAGGACTCATCCTTCAGCGGTGCCCTCAGCAGTACCTCCCGCTACCCAACTGACCGGATGCCAATTGTTCTCGCAAGAAAACACCTTGCCGCCAGAGCCATGATGCAGCGTCCATCCCGATGACCACATGCCCAGCCCAAACTGCCACACCAAATCAGCTGCGCGCCGCGTCAAGCAGCAAGAAAAGAGACTTACAATAGCCATGCCCAGCACGACGATTGAGCTGTTGAGAACCGTGAAGACGGCCTGCCGCTTCGACGAGAACAGCCTTCCATTCACTTTGTTATGCCACAGCCAGAGCAGTGGAGGCAGCGCGTCTGTCCATGTCAGTGTGCCGTCATCAGTCACAAAAGAAAGTTTCTCCCGGCAACTTACAGCTGAACCAGCTCCCAAAGAGGGCCCCAATCAAGCCCAGCAGCAAATTGAAATTCGGGATGGCTTCAGCCAAGATCCAGCTTGCCAGCCATGCCCCTGAGCAAATCGCCCACCAACTGCCCAAGCTTTTCCAGCTGTTGGTGTGTACTACGTTGGTGCCCTTCCACACCCGGAGGTACACGTACTTGGTCGCCACCGACCCATTAACAACACCCGCAACAATGATGGTGGGGATTGCTATGCCAAAGCAAATCTTGCTAACCAGAGGCGATGCGGAACCTAACGCGGGAGAGGACACGAGGGGACCAGCGTAGTAGTATATGACCACCGAAATGAGCAGGTAGAAGGATACCGCGATGCCTTGCTCAAAGAAGAGAGCCTTGCGAAAATCGCGTGGATCCTTGAGTTCAGACGCGAAAGAAAAGAAAGCAACGTGCCCAGCTACCGAGAGTCAGCTTCGATTCGCGTCGTGAATCAAGACTCATGTACTTACTGTAAGCCAGCACAATGTTCATCACAGGTGCCAGTCCTTTGACCAGCGGTACGTCAGGTCGTACAACCACCATGTTGTTCATGTCTGGCTTCTGGATAGCAATGGCAATCATGGTCACCGTGACACCTACGATGATCGAAGCGCAAGCTGTAGACTGGTCAGCATGCCCATCTTCTCTTGCCTTTTCCGGCTCTGCACTCACAGAATATGCTAAAGTAGCTGATGTTCTTGAACGTCCTCGGCAGCCCCAGCGCAAAGGAAACAACCAACCCAACGATATTGAAGACAATCGTGCAAGTCGCATGATCAGTCATTGCGTTCATAGCAACAGCAAACGTCAGGATGTGTGCACCCACGATGAACACCAGCACCAAGACTTGCCCAACAGCAAGCACTTTGTAGCCCAGGGGCCCACTGATGAGCTGCCCGCAGTCCGCATACGATTGCACTGATGGATGCGCAAGTTTGAATTCGCCAACCAGATAGCCGGTGTATGTGGCGATGATTCCTAGGAGGCATATGCAGAGCATGCCTGGCACGATACCGAGGATGGCTAAAGCCTGAGGAAGTGCAAGGACGCCCAGCGAAACATTTTCGGCGAGCATGACTCGAGAGTTTTAGAGTAGGGTGGCTGGAATGGGGGAGAGAGCTTACGAATGCCTGCATTCCTGTGACTTTAGGTCAGTGATGCGTTGTAAAATGAAAGTGAGAATGCTAAGCTGTGCAAAGTGCCTTCGATCGGATGCGGTGCTTGCACACATGATGCAGGTGGGGATGGCGTAGAAAACATACCACCATTTACACGTCTTGTACTGTATCTCGGCACCTTCTTCATCACCGAATACATCGTCTTCCGCGCCTGGTATGTTTTGTCTTTCACAGTCGGACGGTGGTGATGATGGCTGTGGTAAAGAACGCTCTCGAACCACAGTGTCCCCCTTGCCAGGCCCAGCCGCTGTTGTGTTGGGGTTGCTCATTGTATATGGAAAAAGAGTCGCCGTGGGACAGTTTTTATACTTGGAAGATGAAGACAGTTGTTGTGTAAAAAGCCCCTTCCTGCAAAGACGGTAACGATGGAAGTCGAGATCAGTGACTCCATGGTGCCAGGGCAGTCAAGATATGAGGCCACAGTTGCCGCTTCCAGTGCAGGTGTAATCATGCGCTCCTGATGGGAAATTGAAAATATGGAAGGGCATTGCGTTAGTCTCCAATATCTGGGTCGGCTGGCCAAACATATCATGCAGAACTGCCATTGGGTCCCTTTGTGTGCTTAGCGAACCATGCAAACATAAAGGTGTTGACATAAGTTCAATGTAAACAAGATAAAGAACAAAGCTAGGGTTTAGAATGTTGATTGCGAGAAGGGGCTGCCCAATTGGAACGGCGGGAGACTGATTGTCCACTCTCTTGCAAGTCGTCAACGGTCGACACTTATCGCTGGCCATTGCAGTCACCCATCTGGCATGCAATATACATGATATCAACAATCATCTCGAAACCATAGAAAACGCGCCATGTGAGACTTACTCAAAGGGCAAAGATATGAGCCAGTCGGCTTTGAACAAAGGCTGCTTTCGCTTCCAGACTTTGCGCGTGGTGATGGGCGGACGGCATCCAATCTCAATGGGTTTTGTCTGATTGAAGGAAAACAAACTTTGTTATCTATTGTGATCATTGCTTGGGAGTTATGCCAATGGTATCCCGCATGTAGTGGTAGCAAGAATGCATTCACTGACGTAGGAGATCGGCCCAACTACCTACGTCATCACGTGGACTCGTGGCTGTTTCGAGACAGCTTATCGATACCTATCGCCACACCTCATCTCCCACGCACTCTGCTCACATTGTCACCATCGCGCCTCCTTGTCCAAGCTCATGACCGTTTTTTGCTCAATTGATTTCAACCAGCTTTCTTGTGAAAACACAGATCCCGGTTCCCCAAAGCGCAATGTCGCACGCGAGTAACCCCCCAACGCGGAAGCGCAAACTGGCGCCCTGCCCCAGCGGCTATCGCGACGCGCCTGTCCAGTACCCACCGTCGTCATCTGGTACTACCAGGGTCTCCCAACGCACACCTTACAGCAGCGAATATGGTTCTTTCCCTGTCGCATTCCAATCGCTGCCCGGAACAAACCAGATGGTGGAAGTCATCGACCTTACACAAGATTCTCCCCCTGCGCAGCCCGCCCCGAAGAAGAGCAAGCGCAACACCAATGGATCCGTTGAGGAGAAGCGGGGTACAACCTTTCGCAGAAGCGCAACACAAAGCTACCTCACTGTAAAGGAAAGGGCTCTTACGCAGCGCTTAACGGTGCTCTCGCGTGAGCGCTGCGGGAGCGACGATACACCCGAAGAGAAAGTCATCATAGCAGGCACGACAGGCAATGTCTACACAGTCCTGGTAGACCGCGAGCCGTCTTGCGACTGTCCGCATGCGAAGAAGGGCAATCAATGCAAGCACATTGTCTACGTCATGCTGCGGGTGTTGAGGGCACGCGAGGAAATTGCCTATCAGTTGGCTCTCCTCAGCTCCGAGCTGCGTGAAGTCTTCCAGAACGCTCCACCAATTCCAGGAGTCGGGACGAATGGAAAGGACGGCACACAGAAGCAAGGCGAAGACGGCAACCGCAAACCTATCGAGGGCGAATGTCCAATTTGTTACGACGATCTTGACAACAAGGAGAACATTGACTACTGTAAGGCTAGCTGTGGAAACAATGTACACAGGAGCTGTATGCAGAACTGGAAGGCTGCATCCAAGGGTAAGACGACATGCCCGTACTGCCGTGCCACATGGCAGGAAGATACAAACTTGCCGGGCAAACTTGGTGACATAAACACCAAAGGTCTGGCGAGGAACGAGGATGGCTACGTCAACATCGCTCCTCAACTAGGCTTGTCCGGTGAAAGGGATTACTCCACATATTATTCATATTGGGCGCGAAGTCGCTCGGGCTACGGTGGAAGGAGAGGCGATTACTATTGATGCTTCGAGGAACAATTTCGGTGTTGTCAAGATGCGCAGGCGCCAGATGTGGGAAAGGAAACCCTCTACCGTATCCCTAGATTGCACCGCTCCGTTTCTCTTACCATACTAGGAAATGTACTATATCGCTGTATTTATAGAATTGGAAATAGGCAAGTCTTTCCACAGTCGCTCGATATCAACTAGCGACCTGTCAAGCCACCATGGAAATAAACACGAACAAATGGCACGGCGTTGGCGTGAACTGCAGCAGCGCAAGCGCGGCTCCACTGAGGGAATAATGACACGCGGATTGCGAAAGGAGTAACGTATGCAGATCCACCAATGACGCGTCACACCCTTACTGGCCATCACGCCCATCGTGATTCTACTACGCACGCCATATCCATTGATCATCATGACCATGAGCGCGTACCTGCATGATCAACGCCCGGCACCGCACTGCACACGCGTTCGCAGCGCCTCCCGCCGACGGCTCGTCGCCTGAAAGCTTCGCTGTGGCATGGCCCCCCTAAAAACAAACTTCACTGCATGACCCTACCGCCCGAGGTACGACCGTAGTTGTACGGCTTACACAAAGGAAATGAGATAACGCATTGCAAAGCTTGGCAACGACGACGTCGACCATGACGACGGCAAAAATGACGAAAAAATAGGAAGACAGCCATGTTCGAGAATACCAGGTGTAATAATAGCTCCATAGCACGTCATACACTTGAAAAAAAAGGCCGGGGGATCCAAGTCCAGGCTTGCCCCCGACCGAGTATGGGAAATGCCGACGACTCGCAGGGGGGAGCCTTGGTGAAACAAATACTTGTGGCCCTATATACGTGGAGAGAAGAGCATGACGAAGACAAAGGAACGACAAACAGCAGAAACCAGGACGTGATTAAGAACCTAGTTGTCCGTCTCCAAAGGCTTATTATGCCAAGGGGGAGAGACTGACAGACAGACTGACTGACTTATGAAAAAAAAGCCCCCTAAGTGAAAGAAAGCTTGCGAGTAATATTGATTTTGCACAAACGAGGGCTACCCCAGCAAAAGAAAAAACCAACAAAAAACACGGGTCGGTCGGTCAATCCATCCATCCACGCAGCCATGGGATCCCCCTCTGAATAATATCGGGAAGATTTCCAGTTTGTCCCAGAGCGCCCTAGTGCCCGCGCGTGCGCCCGCAATCGAATGAGGGCGAATACGATATCTAGATTGTTGCGCATGAGCTGACGAGGAAACCACCCCCAAAACGGGTTGGGCACGTGTATATTATGTACGAATGATGTGTTCATGGGCGGTTGTGTACATAGGCACGTACATACATAAGACGAGAGAGGAAGAAAAAAAAAGGGGGTGGGTAAAAGTAAGCGCCGCTGGCCGCCGGCGCGAAAAGCCGAAGTGAGAGCGAGCGAACGAGCGAGCGAACAAGAAAACTCATGGCACGCCGACGCCGGTGTTAGCTACGGCACGGAAAACACAGATGCATGGTCCGGGAAGCCAAGGGGATATGCGGAGGCGCATAAAGAAGGAAAGACGAGGGGAGAAAAAGAAATAAACACATGTAAAAAGAGACATGGAACGGCGGGGAATCAAAGAGGCCACGCGTGACGGTACGTACCAGTACAAAGGACGCGCACGGCTAGCATGACAAGACGTGCGACAGCACAAATGGTGGGTTTAATATGTACACGAAGGGGGGAGAGGGCAGTGCGGGCAAGGCATCCAGGCATATCGCTGACTCTGTGACAAAGCCGGCTTCACCCACTGATTCAAGAGCGTTTGCGGCGCAGTCCTATGCGTGTGTATGCGGGAAGAAAAGTACCCCCCAAAAAAGCTTGCGCACAGCAGATAAAAAAAAAATAGACAAACCTAGGTTAGGTGGGTATAACAGCAAGGTTCAAGGAAAAAATGGAGGTAAAAAAAAGCAGAGATATATCCTGGGGATATGACGAAGGGATGTGCAATATCAGTGTGAATATGTCAGGAGACACTCCCCCCCTTCCCATAAAATAAAAATAAAATAAATGATGAAGAAGTACAAGGTGGCGGGTTCCAAGTTTGAAAGCACAGTCTTGTTCTGAAGCAAAATGGCAGAAGAATGCAAGAAAGATGAAATCAAAAATAAAAACCGAAAAAAAACAAGAAAAAAATATCAATCAGAAAAGTCACGCCGTGTCATGTCAAGAATGTGGAGACGCCGATATGTCATGTCATGCATGAAAAAAAAATGGCGGCCCAGTGAGAGAAAGAGAGAAAGAGAGAAAGAGAGAAAGAAAGAGAAAATTGGCACACACACACACACACACACACACACACACACACACACACGCACACACACACGCACACACACACGCACACACACACGGTGGTGGCGGGCAATGCCGGGAAAGAAGAAAAGAAGAAAAAAAAAGTGGTCAAACTGCGTGCCCAAAAGAAGAAAGCGTCAACTTGGGCGAAAAGGACGAATGCGGCCGCTCTCGGTTGCGGTTGGGCGAACAGGCTCCGAGAATGTCATCGTCCATGAAAGAAGGGGGGGGGGCGGGGGGGGGGGGCGGAGTATACGGCAGACTAGGCGATTTTGTGTGTGCATGTGTGTGTGCTGCCCTCTCTCCCCAGTTATGAGCGGAGGGCCCGGAAATACGGCACCAGGGGGGTTCCCCGCTCACGCCCCTCCCTCCCTTTGGTCGTAAGGCTCATGGCACATGTGGCGCGGAAGTGGGCACAGGGTATTTTTCCCAAAGAGAGAGAGAGTGTGTGGACCAGGCTGTCCCCCCCCATGTCAGGTTGCGCGGCTACGGGGGGGTGGGACGGCACTGTAGTCATGTCAGTCATGCCAGTCAGTAGTGGAAATTGCAATGGCGTGAGGCAAGAGAAGGTTATTGCATCACATAGGCAGAGGCAGAGGCAGAGAGAGGCAAAGCTTGGAAGGAGGCAATCACGGTTCAGAAAAAGACCCAGTTTGGAGAAGAGAATTCAAAAGTTATGTTTGCACAAAGGATCAATTGAGAAGAAGAGAAATTGCTGGATAAATAAATGAGTAAAACGCCATGTTCAGATGGTCTTTTCGACAACCAGTACAAACAAAGGAAAAAGGTCTAGGAACAATTGAAGTCGTGAGACATGTTGCTCATTGCCCTTCCATAGACCAAGCGCGACAAACACGGACAAGATGCGAGGGATGGAGTGTGCAAAGGACAGCCAATATATTGTCGATTACACACATACACTGTCTGACCGGTTTTCTCAAATCGACCACAAAGGAAACCACCCACCGCACTGCCCCTGTCTGAGGAGACTTGATACAATGGGCAGACAAGGTAGGCAAGAAAATGGATCAAGTGATCCTATACACATGACACGGACAACCCGCCATGCCTCTCTTCATTTAGAGCGCGTCACCCGCTTAGTAGGTGGCATAGCCGCCTCCGTAGTTGTTGGCAGGGGTAGACTGAGGGGCAGAGGGGACAGTGGAAGAGGGCGTGCCGGAGACGAAGGTGAAGCTGGGAAGAGTAGAGGTGCCAGGGACGGGGTAACCGGTGCCGTAGCCCATGTTAGGCTTGGTGGAGGTCTGGAAGCCAGTGGGGTAGTGGTTGGTGCCGTTGTTAGGGATGGGGTACGAGCCAGTGGGGGAAGGAGGCATGCCAGAGGTCGTGTCAGCAGGAGTGTTGGGGTATCCAGAGCCAGGGTAGCCAGAGCCGGGAGTGCCAGAGCTGGGGGTACCGGCAGGGTAGTTGCCACCAACGGTAACGGTAACGGTCTCCTTCTCGGTCACAGTAACGGTGACAGGAGCACAGCCCTCACCAGCAGGGGTGCTGGGGATAGACTCAGCGTGGACAGGGCCAGAGGGAGTGGGCTTGTTAACTGTGATGTACTTAGTAGAGGTAGAGGTGGAGCTGACAGTGCCAGTAATACCTTCGGGGCTAGGAGGGTAGCCCTGACCGTTACCAGGGCCAGTTGGGTAGGCACCAGAAGGAGAAGAAGTAGTGTCCTGAGGAGTGTTACCGCCAGGGTGGCCTCCGGTGGGGTAACCTCCGGCAGGGGTGGTGGGCTTGGGGCCAGGAACCGTGATGACGACGGTCGAGTACTGGGTCGAGGTGGAAACAGTGGTGACCTCAGTGGTGACGGGGTGGGCGGTGGTACCGACACCGATGGTGTAGACGAGGGTCTCGGTGTAGGTGCTGGCCACCTCAGACACGGGGTACGTGCTAGTAACAGCAGTAGGGGTGGGCTTCTCCCCGGTGCAAACAGTGGTGCCAACGGGGACAACGCTGGTGAGAACGGAGGTGGCGTGGGCCGGGCAGTTAGTGACGGTCGGGGCACAGCTGCTGATGGTGATGTAAGCAGTGCTGTAGATGGTGCTGGTGACCATGTCGGTGACTGGAGTCGACGAGGCAGGGTGTCCACCGGTGGGGTATCCAGCTCCAGGAGTGCTCATGGCGCCCGCAGGAACAGAGGACGAGACGGAGTAGGCAGTACCCATGGGGGCGGAGTGGGAAGGCTTGCCTCCGTATGGGTAACCACCGGTGGGGTATCCAGCTCCAGGAGAGCTAGCGCTAGCCTCAGGGACGGAAGGAGAAGAGCTGGGGCTGGGGGAACCATTGCCGTAGCCACCGCCGTAGCCACCTCCGTAACCACCAGCAGGAGTGCTGGCGCTGGCATTAGGAACAGAGGGGGAAGAGCTAGGGCTGGGGGAGCCACCGCCGTAACCACCGCCGTAGCCACCTCCGTAACCACCAGCAGGAGTGCTGGCGCTGGCATTAGGAACAGAGGGGGAAGAGCTAGGGCTGGGGGAGCCACCGCCGTAACCACCACCGTAGCCACCGCCGTAGCCACCAGCAGGAGTGCTGGCGCTAGCCTCAGGGACGGAAGGAGAGGAGCTGGGGCTAGGGGTGGAGCCAGTGCCGTAGCCACCGCCGTAGCCACCTCCGTAACCACCAGCAGGAGTGCTGGCGGTAGCCTCGGGAGTAGAGGGAGAGGAAGCTGGGGTCTTTACGTATCCAGTGCCTTGGGCGTAACCACCACCATAGCCGCCTCCGTAGCCACCAGCAGGAGTGCTGGCAGGAGAGCTGGCGCTGGCATTAGGAACAGAGGGGGAAGAGCTAGGGCTGGGGGAGCCACCGCCGTAACCACCGCCGTAGCCACCTCCGTAGCCACCAGCAGGAGTGCTGGCAGGAGAGCTAACAGGCGAGCTGGCGCTAGCCTCAGGAACAGAGGGAGAAGAGCTGGGGCTGGGCATGGAGCCAGTGCCGTAACCACCACCGTAGCCACCGCCATAACCACCTGCAGGAGTGCTGG